CTGCTTCTTTACCGTTACCGGTCATTGTTAGCTCGTGCGACGGGCTCGGCTAATTTTCGTTAATTTTACCCCTTGAATTTCCAGTAATTCGGAAATTTGTGAAGAAGCTCAATTGAATCGGGTTTGCCTGTGTCTCTAAATTATTTGGTATAAGTTATCAAAGCTCAATGAAACTGTTGACGAACGAGTTTGTCAATAGAATGAGATCATTTCTTCACGCAATAATTTTAACAGCAAAGCAGCGGGAAGGTATAAAGAATTTACAAACAAAGTCTTGGATTACTGATTCCGGCGGGCACCTGTGGCATGTTCTCTATGCCTTTTTCTTGCTGTAACGAATGTGCTCTTGAAATTTTTCAATTTCCTTGTTCGTTTGTGTTAGTTTTACGTTGATTTTGTGTTTAATTCTAATTTAAATCTATTTTTAATTCGTGTAATGCTATTACAAAAAGTTTCAATCCCTCGAATAATTTTTTCAATATTTTATGATTGTGCTTTGTTGATTTCGGTTGGAGTTAAAATATTGCAATTCTACGCATACATTTGGAGACGTTTCATTCATCAAGCTGATCTCCATCACAAGTAGCTTTAATATGTGATGATTTATGCAAAATTCATAGCCGTTATGTACTCTATTGTTCTTGAGTAAAATTTTAATTTATTAGAATAATAATTTGTGCGTTTCAGTTTGTAGGTTGTTGTTAAATCGTTATACTCGTGTTGATTCTTGGAATTTCTTTCTATATAACGATGACCTGTAAAATTTAAAAATTTTGTTTTTCCGCTCATAGCTTTGAAACTGCATTTCTGAAACAGTGTTGGAATAATTTGTGTGCCGAAAGTCAAAGTGTTGTTTAGTATCAAATGATTATTTTTGTTTCACCTACAAGTGATCTAAGCAACGACTGCATTACACTTGTAATCATGATGTTACTGTCTGTATCCAACTTAGCGATTTACTGAACAGACGTTCTATCGATGCCTCCGTTTTTTCGTTTCTCATTAATTAACTGTCGATGTACTCTCAAGTTCGAACAAATTATAGGAGCGTGTTATTCAATCGCCCGAGTTGATGCCTCGTATACTTTGTTCCTGATTCAGTATTTCTGCGCCTCTATTTTTCCCGAGGCTGTTGCTGCGGAACTGCCGTTATATTATCTGAATAGTTGCGCTGCAACTTCTAGAAGTTCAACTCTCTTGTGATATCATTTAGTTGCGATGCTACTAAGTAGGTCGCTTTGTTTTGTAACTTAATTTATTCATGTGTGTATTTCTTACTTCTTTAACAGTTTGTGATCTTCGCGGTCCAACGTGCGTACCGAAAATGCTTTGTGCTGTACGCTTTCCGGCAGAACTTATCACGTTGATTCCGAAGTGTTACATATGCGTACCGTGAGGTGTATAGCTCCAGGATGTAGTGGTACATATCAGGGTTGCTAGATGGCCTAAAAAACGGCAAGTCCGCGAACAAAAAAAGGTAAAAAATGCCTATATCTCAATATATACCAGTATATTTGTAGGTTCCGATGTAAAAATTCCATTCATTTTTTTGCAGTTTTTAAAATTAATTTAGGGAGTATCCCTGTCAAAAATTTTAGCCGGCCAACGCAATTGAAAAAAAAATAAATAGCTGAATTTGTCCAGAATAAAATGGCCGGCTGGCAACCCTGGACTACATATATGTCCCATTTCAATTATTTCGACACTTTTTCAAAATAGATTTTACCGCACTAGTTCGTATTTATTAACACAATACATATTATTTCGTTATAGAATGCTTTGGAACAATAAAAAAATCAATATAAATCTTCAATTTGTGCAGTTCATAATAGTACAAAAATGAAATAATTGTATACAAGATGGAGCAATCGGAGTCAACGTGTTAGGTTATCATTTTTGTTTAATTAGTCTGTTAACTAACTACGCAAGGTATAAATATAGCTAAATTTTCAGAGATTTTTTTTCAGATGCTGCATCGATTTGAATTATTTAATGGCCATAAATTTAATTTATTATTTTTTTCTCTATTGAAGTGTAGCCAACCAAGATCTCGCGTTCTGTACTTGCGTGTGTGTGTGTATCTGGCAACGTATGAAATTGTTCCAAATTAGCAGAAAAAATTGCCTATGCTGATTCCTCTTTGTCGTTCACACGAATTCATATATATCATCGTTACATTAGATTCACTGGCTAATCGACAAGCAGCATTTCGAGTATAACTCCTCATATTTCCGTTCATTTAGTAACCACTCGATATTCTGTAAGAGAGAGAAATCATTTATTAAGTGGATCACTGCCAAAATAATAACCTATCAGTTGATTTCTTTATTTGCCGTAAATTTTTTTTTTTCGACAGAATGAATACTTTGAAAATTGTTGTATACCTAATTTTTTTTAGCTTTGCTTTTCCTTCTTTGTCAGAAGCTCTAGAGTTGTTTATTTTGACTGAGGCTCCCTCTGTTACGTTCTTCTAGACTGTTACGTTTAAGCATTTTATTTTTGAAGTAATATATTGTCCCGACAAACGAAGGAACAAGCTGATATGCTAAGTATCCTATGGCTTAGTTGAGTAACATTTAATTGAGTTGCGTATCATGTGTCGAGTCGACGCGCCGTTTCTTGTCTGAATTTCTGAGAAGTATTACAATGCTCCTAAGTTCTCGGGTAATCCCAACTTAACGTTTGGAAGGAGACATTGTGCACGTAAGATTCATAATATTGTAATTATTCTTAGAATTCGATGAGGATTTGATGTTTACAGATTTTCCGAAGCAAGTCTTTTTTTGTTCATGTTTACTGACTAAACCTCGTATGTGTTACGTGGACTCTGTACAGAAAACAGCAAGCATTACAACACAACAGGTAATGTTGAATTATTGTTTTCTTTCATCCTTTGTAGCGTAGATGTATTTGCACTTCTAAACATTTAGCTAGCAATCCGTTTTACTCATTTAATCGGTTGTAAATCTCGTCAGTTCATTGCTTAGTGCAGATTCTCATTCATTAATTTAGGAAAGATTTAAAATTATAGCAGACGATCCGTTTCTAGCTCTGCATTCAATTTGGCTAGCTGCACATACTCGTTGCGTAGGCTGATGATTCAATATAATATTCTGTTGTCAATTTTGACTAGGCCATTTTGGCCTGTCGGCGATTCCTAATAACCCGGCAATCATACGGATTTTGACCGGGATTTGAACAATTGTGTGTGAGCTTCGAACCCCAAACTCAGTGCGTCTTTGCGATCTTAACCACTTGGCCAACCCGAGCTTGACCTGTCATTTGTTTCCCAAAAAAATGTATGAAAGCAAAGCGACATGTAGGATACTTTTTTATGTGATCAGGATATGTGTGTTTTCTGGATACTCCCATGCGTGATTGGCCTCACCAAGCATGGATGGTGCCCCCAAGTATGGTTGGTACTCTCAAGTACCCCTCAGGGGGACTTCTGACGCGTGTCTGTGCTCGTCAGAAGACCTATGGGATTTCGCGCTCTTGGGGATTGTTCCTGAGTGCTCCACCCTTGGGCTCGCGGTGTCTGACTGCAGGTCTCAGTTGTGGGGTTAAGTTATTATGTAGGTAGCATACCTTACATTAAGTTATTATGTAGGTAGGATACCTTACATTAAGTTATTATGTAGGTAGGATACCTTACATTAAGTTATTATGTAGGTAGGATACCTTACATTAAGTTATTATGTAGGTAGTATATCTTGCATTAAGTTATGTAGTCGGGATTTCTTACATTTCCCTTCTCTGCCTCTCGTGCAGGCGGCCACCGTCCCGTATAAACGACCTTTTCTTCGAGTGTCTTAAGTTTATGTTGCTGTTCCCCTGTCCCTCCTTGTCACTTCGTCTCTTTGAGATGCTAACGCTCTTCTCTCGAGCCAGCTTCAGCGGGCTGGACATCTGAGACCTCCCGCCCCTTGTGGGTGATGATTAATTTGAGACCCTGAATAATTGAGAGCTTCCGCCTCGCTGGCGATGTCAACTTTTGACCTCCGGTGCGAAATTGATTGATAGCTGAAGCGCTAGTAAACCATTCTACTACTTACTTTCTCCCAAGTATGGATGGTGGCGGCAGGTGTAGTTAACTAGTTGGTGCCACCATATACGGTATGTTTCCAGAATTCCAGTCCTGGACCGATGTAGTCTGCTTCCCTGGTGTGGTTAGTGGTTACCACTCTGCTGGTGTGGTCTTCCTCTTGAAGCCGCCTTCTCTTTGGAGAGATTTCCTCCTTTGCATGATCTCCTCCTTGGCATGATCTCCTCATTGGCGTGGTCTTCTCCTTGACGCGATCTTCTACTTGGTGTGGTCTTCTCCTTGGCGAAGTCTCCTCATTGGCGAGGTCATCTGGCATGGTTTCTTTGGCGTTGTCTTCTCATTGGCGTCTCCTTGACGCTGTCTTCTCCCTGTAGTGGTCTCAACCTTGGCATTTTAGGCATCCTTCGGCAAGACCAATCCAAAACCGCGTACATAATGCCCCTCATGTTGGAGCAGCATACTCATCTATGTAGTGACTACATTGCTATTCAGCCATGAGCACACATTGGGCTCCCATAAAGCACCCATTAAAAAATCTCTGTGGCAACTGTAAGCTGTAACATAAGATCCTGTCTTGGGGCCACATTGGACAAGACTTCAGAGGCTCCCGTAGGGCATCAATGTGGAAGGAAAAAATAATATCTCGTCTAAACTCTAAATTTATACCCACCGGATTCTTGGGGTTTCATCTTATGTGTTAGTGTGCCACCTATACCTGTCTGCCCTTTTTTCGGAAATTGTAAATGAATTTATCTCCACTACGTTATATGATGGAGAAAATACATTTTTATCCTTGAAGTTCGGAAATAATATTGATTAAATAATGAATAAACTCAATAATTTGAATTAATACTTATTTTGAATAATTTATAAGAGCTTACGCTCATTTGAAAGTAAAAGCTGGGAGGGACACGTTATAGGAACTTTGTTGTTTTCAAGGTAGTTAGGCGTCTGAATCAGGTGTGTGTTGTGTGTATGCGACGTTTCGTTCATGTGACTGCGCGGGTTACCTAATAAAAGCGGATAGGCCTAGTATGATGCCAATAGTAATATCAAGTTACTAAAAAATATATAATCTGCGTTCTTCATTCAGAACCTTACTTGATTTGAAGGCTTTTGGACAAGGAAGAAGGATTTTACGAAATAATGTGAGCCTGTTTTATAATTTTTAGCCGTTAATTTAATACAACTTCGCTAAATTTTTCTTGCATGTTGATGGTTTATATGTAATATGTCGTCATGTTGACTCGACATGATCCATCTCAGACTTGGTTAAGTTGTTAACGGTTAATAGGCCTTAATTCCCCAATTTATAACTCTGAGTTTCATTATTCAACTTTACAAAAAATTCTAATTCTATTAAAAGTTGAAAAAGTATGAAATACCTAAAAATTCTATGCGGTATTATTGCAGATTAACTACATCCAAAAAAAAGGGTGTTTTTTTTTAATTATATGTTTTTTGGGGTGTAGATTACGAATCTGAAATCCATTTTTGGCGGTCGGCATCGGAAAACCGAAAATAACCTATAGAATTACACCATGATTACAAAACTGGAGAATAAAAGGTGACATGGCTGATGGCTCATGGCTGAGATGTGCCATCGCCATCAGTGCCTTCTAATCAAAAGCTGGTTGCAGCTAATAGCACAAACATGTATGTCAATGTCAGGAATACATTAATGATTAAGGTCCCAAGTCGCAACTTCTTCCCAGCTGGTGAAATGGACATGATTAATACTTAATAACAATGCGCGTAAAAGAACTATATAAATTAAGTCAATACGGCATTACTGCAGGGTAATTAGACTATGTGATACAAAATATTCAGGAAGAAATTGATTTCTTAAGGCAATAGTCTTTTTAGCAGTGTGACAGTGTGGCGAAAACACATATTTTATAGTTTCAGCAGATATTTTTGTTTGTTGGTCTTGGTCAAGAGACATCTTTTTTCAGTAACAGCTAACGGATACAGTTTGGTAATGGGCCTAAAAACTTTTCCAGAGTCTGTAACTAATTTTATAGAATGAACAAGGTTATCATTACCAACAATCAAAGAAATTACTCCTAATTTCTTATGTAGACAAGGGTGATCACTATGAATTTGTTTGATGTCTCCTATGTTAACAGTATTACCAGTACCAGAAGTTACATTGCTGGACTGAGAACTTTCACGAAGTGAAGTCAGATAATCCAAATACGCTTATCGGACATGGAACATAAACTGCCACTATTAAACCTACAGCATGTAAACAGACGTCGCCATATTAATTCTGAGAAAATTGGTTTCAAACAAAGCTCTAGATTTCTTACTATCACCAAATTTCCTGTTCAAGAAAAATTATATGTTAATAATGGATAATTTAACGCATATTGAGTATTATAGGTTTTCTGTCTCTTGTACTTTGACTAACTTTATCTGCACAGACTCTTGCGTGCTGATGGCCAGGAGTTGCACCAACACTTGCGCGAAAAGAAAAGAGTTAAGATTGTTTTGTGCCAACTGCACCCAACAATGACTTGAAAAAAAATCATGGAAAACTGGATAGGCTGTGGATTTATCTAGCAGCAATGGTATAATCTCATTGTCCAAAAATTTAGAGATAGCTATAATCACAGTTGATGAGTTCAGGATTGGAATTTTTTTAGCCATGAATTTATAAATTCATGGCTCAAAAAAATTGATAAATGCTCAAAGAGTTGTCCAAATTACCTATGAATTGCTTTCATTTGTTGTCAGCACAAGTGATGAAAATATTTTCAAGCTTTCCATTAAGCCAATTTTACCTTAAATTGGCATAATTTTTCAGTTGCAGGTTTAATCACAAACAATTATAAAGACTTTTTTTTATTCTGGAAGTATAAAAAAAAATGCCTAGGCTTAAATTATGCTTTGGAATGTGCACTACTTCATATGCTTTGTACCAGACAAAACCTTGATGACAGAATTTTCCAATGAAGGCAAGCTCTATACAACACTGAGTATTTTCTTGAACTTAGAAGTAAGTCAATTAGTATCAGTAAATCCAGTTGATCTGCAGAGCTAGTGTCAAATTATAAATTAATTTTAAGTTACATAAATAGACTAATAGACTAAGTTACATAGACTATTAATAATAAAAAGTTGCACTAGTATTGTTCCAAATTAAATACATAAATGGAATTTGGATGATACTATTTAATTATGCAAATTATATTTAGCTGTATTGAAATTCTGAGTGTTTCAAGTAGACGATTATAAAGTGTCACTTAATATTCATTATGCTGCTGCTTAGCAAAAATCTAGTTGGAAAGGGGTATATAATTTCGCTGCTTTTCATCCCATTCCCTTACTTATGACTATCAATGCTATTTGTTTAGGCATAATTCTTACGCCTCACCTTTACTCTAATGATTGGCAAATACACGATCGTCTTGCTAGAAGTTTGCTACACGCTCGTCTTGCTAGGAGTTTGCTACACGCTCGTCTTGCTAGAAGTTTGCTACACGCTCGTCTTGCTAGAAGTTTGCTACACGCTCGTCTTGCTAGAAGTTTGCTACACGCTCGTCTTGCTAGAAGTTTGCTACACGCTCGTTTTGCTAGAATGTTGCTACACGCTCGTCTTGCTAGAAGTTTGCTACACGCTCGTCTTGCTAGAATCTTGTTACACGCTCGTCTTGCTAGAATCTTGTTACACGCTCGTCTTGCTAGAAGTTTGCTCATCTCACTGGAATCTATCCCTACACGCTTGTTTTGCCGGAATATTGCTACACGCTCGTCTTGCTGGAATCTTGCTATTTCACATTATATATAGGTTACGGTACCTCAGATTCTTTTATTGAATTTAGTTATTACAATTTTAATGCACGTAAAATATATTTGAAATCAACTTCTTGAAAACTTATTTCTTCTTAGACTCGGGTTTTTGACGCATATCTAGTGGATTCAAACCCGAAGAAAAATTGACGCCCTGGAATAATTTGAAGGGAAAATGTGGCCAATGATGATAATTTAGCTAGTCTTTATACCAATGTTAGCCTCAAAATAAAGTAATGGTGATTACTAGTGATCATACACAGCCGATTGCGTCACTTGAGAGCGCTGCTGGCTGGATATGATGAATGTGATCAGTGATCAAAGCGATTGATATAGCAACTTATCACGACGTCTATGTTTGTTACAGCTACGTTTGTCCGTAAGCCAAGTCGTGTTTACTTGATCAGTACCGTACTTCAGCCAGATAGTGAAATGTCGTAAATGCACGATTCTAATCTTAGTTGATTACAGTAAGAATATTGCGATGAATTTTGGTGAAGACGCTGGATGGTAACTCTGTTAATGGCCGTCATAAGAAGCAGCCTTTACAAGAGGCCACCGAAGCCTGCGTAGCGAGAGTGCGTATAACAGAGAACGCCTGTGTTTGTAGTTCACTCGAACACGCCCTTCTTATTGCCAGTTCAGGACGATCGTTTGCTCAGTGAGAAGTCTTTTTCTTAGTAGCTGCCTTCACGCACTACGAAAATGATAGAATCCTTCATTTGCTGAGTATAAGTGGATCAATTCCCGTGCTTCAAATGCCTGGTGTTGATTATATTTTGTATCAATGAGTTTCTCATTCTTTTTTAGTGTTAAAAGTGCGAAATAAGTGGCCTAAATTTATTGATATTAATTAAATCCATGGAAACTAAAAGTATTCCGCTATCTAAAACGACGAAATGAATTATACTCTGTGAAAGGCAACAATTTATTTTTAAGTTGAGTCAATGACTTTTCCTGTGTTACTGATTTGGCCGTGTTGTGAGTTGACGAACAAGATGTAATATACGTGGAAGCATATGGCTTTAGAATGATCTATATAGTTGCACTGGCAGAGCAGTCCTCGCTGATTAGAAATGTATTCGCTGTAAGAACTGTTTATTTTTTCTTGAACTCCTTTTTTGATGCCTGGACGCTCAAGCAATCTCATACTGCCTTTCGTGTATCCCGGTCTCAAGCTCTAATTTGCAATGAATTGATGTGCGTGGAAATAGAATGAATGCACACAACCTAACGTGCTTTACGTGTTGTGCAACTTTTCATTGAGATGATGTTTGAACCATAGGAAAACCATAATGGTTATGTTATTAAATGGTCTTAATGATAATTGTATGGAACTTTATGAACTAGGTATATTTTACTTTGTTAGCGAATAATTTTGACTATTTATTCATTACACTTTTAGCTAAAGTCGCTACTTGTTGTGAAGTCGCAGAAGACATTATCGGTCGCGTAGAAAATATAATTCATCATTTCTTAAAGCCATATGGAGTCACAGTAACACGAACCCATTTGCGCTGATGGTGTCGAGGCCATCATCTACGGCCTTTTGATCACATGCACCTATAATGAATCTAGGTTTCCATAACGCTTATTTGCATCAGTCACCACTCCTTTATTATAATTTATGCTTTATAAGCGGTAGTTAATCCATACCGCAGTACTGGGCTCTATAGAAACAACCTTGTTTTTCTATCTGGGACTCCACTTAACATAATTACACATTTTTCAGTTACATATTTTTTACGGAATAGACTCGAAATTCCGTAGCATCTTTCTTGGTCGTTCCTGCGACGGATTTGCCTTGTGATAATTACCTGACTGGTGTGTCATAGATAAAATTCTTTTTGTTATTGGAAAATTTTGAAGGTATAGTAATTATCCAGTATATGCTAAAATTTGAAGATATATTAATTTTCCAGTATATACTAAAAGACATTGTTTCGTATAACAAAGGTTTTACATTCTTGCCGTCGAACATCAACCGCCGTCATTGGGGCTACTATGGTGTGCCGTAATAAGGTGTGCTGATTAGCAAAGAGATTCATTTCAACCTTCCTGTGTTCCTTACCACTCGTAAAAAAAATTATTCCAGACCTGTTTAACTAATGTGTACTGTGTTGTGTAATCGAAGCATTAAAACCTTAGCTAATTTCGTGCGTCGTAGGTAGATGTTTGACGCTCTACATGAGACTTTTTTCTATGGTTTAGTTTCATTCGACGCCGAAGTTATGTTTCCTATTTAAACTTCCTTGTTATTTATATATCTTTACTGAATCATTGCTTGAAAATTTTTATGTTTTGTTGCCAACATGTGTTAGAATCGTGTTGAACAGAAAAATATTTCAGATTTTTATCCTAATATTTTATTACTTTTCCCTCGTGATTCAGGCTTTTTGTGACCGTCATTCTGGACGATAGCACGATGATGGAACTTTTCACATATCTGTGGATCCCCGCCCTCTACTAAGATATACCTACCTATATTGGTTAAATTTTTCGCGATTCACTCGCTTCTCTGAAGCATATTTACAGCTCCAGACGAACGAGTATCATTGAATTTTTCTCATTCATTGTCCACCTCTTACCTGAGTATTCTACTCCTGACTCATTCTTCTAAAAATCTTGTGAATGCGCGCACGTACTATCCACCTATATATAGTGTAGCGTAACTTAGCGACACCCAGATGAGAATATATTGCTATGGGTTTAAGCCCTGGGGTTCAATCCTCGATGTCGCTGTTGAACGCCACTCGATTGCTGTCGAATGCAGTGCATCAGCACGACCGTGGGCGGTGTACTTGGTGCACATGTAACCTGGGGGTATCTCAAGGTTTTTAGGTATCTGCAATAAATCCCTGTTAGTATTTGTCTCCACTCATAAGCTTTTAAAACGCATTCCCAGCAATTTTCATGCAATTAATGTGTTTCTTACGGCCAGATGGACGCGGGCACGTGTCTGGAGCTGGCGCTGGAGGGCGAGCGGCTATGCAAGGCTGGCGACTGTAGAGCTGGGGTGGCCTTTTTCGAAGCCGCCATACAGACTGGCACTGACGACCTCAGGACGCTCTCAGCCATCTACAGCCAGCTCGGCAATGCCTACTTCTACCTCGGCGACTACGACAAAGCCATGGATTACCACAAACTCGACCTCACCGTCGCCAAGTGAGTCTTGAAAAGCCTACCTCGGATGGCTCTTGCCACGGATTAATTCAACTTTTCTATTTTTCGAAAAATTTAATAGGTGTATGTATAAATTAGGTAATAGATGAATCTGATGTATGAGTGAATTAGGTGTATAGATGAGTTAGGGGTATGGATGAATCGGTGTATGGCGGATGCATCGTCCAACGTACCGAATGCTGCGTGTGCCCAAGAGTTTTATGTTCTCTGTTGAGCGTGTTATGAATGATGAGGTGTTCGTTTGATGTTACTTACTGTCTTTTCCAATAGCTTACATTATACAATATGGCTGTTACAATGTCATTCTATTTTTTTTGGCGAATTATAAGGTTTTGGGAGGGAAATCATTCAGGTGTGTTTGAGGGTGATGGAAAATGCTCAGCAGCAACAAGGGGATCGAATATCTGCAGTAATTTACGGACTTAGTTTTACGGAAGATTTGGAGCGGTTTCAGGGTACTAGCACGCAGTGTGTGCGGGATGGGTATTCAGTGTAGGTATGAGGTAAAGGTGTGCAGTATGTAAGGTATTGGAAGGTATTGGTGTGCAAGATAAGGGTTGCATGCAGTTCATAATGTTTGGGCATTATACATAATGTAAGTTGAGAGGATTGCATGCAAACGCATGCAGATCTCCAGCTTTATTTAGAACACGGGAGCAGCATCTCAAGTCCATTGTTTCTTGAATAAATTGCATGCCTACAGCAGTACACACTCACGAATACAGCATTCAATCAAATTCAGCGTATTTCATGATGAATATTGGTGTGCAGAACGATGGGTGACAGGCTGGGCGTGGCCAAGGCATCTGGTAACCTGGGTAACACACTCAAGGTGATGGGGAAATTCAAGGAGGCGATCCTGTGCTGTGAACGCCACCTCCTCATATCCCAGGAGCTCGGTGACAAGGTTGGTAGCACATCACATCCATATGGAATTTGGAATGAAATCCATATGGAATGGATAATAAAATCCATATGAAATATGGAATAAAATCCATATGGAATATGAAATAAAATCCATATGGAATATGGAATAAAATCCATATGGAATATGGAATAAAATCCATATGGAATATGGAATAAAATGCATATGGAATAGATAATAAAATCCAATTGGAATATGAAGTAAAATCCATAAGGAATAGATAATAAAATCCATATGAAATATGGAATAAATCCATATGGAATATGAAATAAAATCCATGTGGAATATGGAATAAAATCCATATATTATTTCCAATAAGATTTTATCAAAATGCAAAGCTTCAGTTGTTCTGGTATGGGAACAAGGGCCTACTGCTGATATTTATTGTACTTGTGAAAACTAAAGGTTCTTGTTAATGTTAGTGCCAATGGGATCACGTTGCTGATTTCATAACGAAAATATATGTTCAGATATTGTGTTGATAATTAAATTGTTTGTGCCAATAAAATGGGTGTGCACATCATACATAAAGGCATCTCTACTGCAGCCAACGTTCTTCCATTAATGAGTAAATTATATATTATAATAAATTCGAATCTCAGCTCGTTCAAAAATTCTCTGTTCTCAGAAGTCCAACAATTTGAATATCGTAACGTCAATGAAAATGCATAGGTCAATACCAAGCTTCTCTACTCACAGTGATTTACAAACAGGGGTAAAGAAATTTCAGCTGCCAAGTAATGATATTTTATCACAGAAATTCAAGTTGCAGTTATTTAAGTTATTATATTATTAATTATTTCAAGTATTTCAAGTAGTAGTTAGTTAACTATAGGTAGTTGTAGTTATTCTGTGTTCCGCAGTCAGTTGCTCGGCAATATCGCTTGCATGTCACGTGACTTTATATACCTACCATTATTAAGCAAACAATACCTTGACAAAACTGTATTGCCAAGACTAGCATGATTATGAACTAATTAGCATGATTATGAAGTAATTAGATTGAACACAAAGATGATTTGTGTATTGTTTGTTATGGTGATCAGTAACCAAATGTTAAGGTCAGGATTATTTTCTCTGCGAAAAAATAATCCTGTTCTCTTTTTTGTGAAATCCAAAAAATAACATTTATATTTTTTTCTGTATTTCCTTTCTTTGTGAAATCCAAATATTATATGCACATTTTTTTCTGTAAGGTTGGTGAAGGCCGCGCACTGTACAACCTGGGCAACGTCTACCACGCCCAGGGCAAGCACCTGGGCCGCGTGGGGCCTCAGGAACCTGGCGGCTTTAGTGATGAAGTCAAACACTGCCTGCAGAAAGCCGTCGAATATTATGCCGGCAACCTGGCACTCATGGCACAGCTTAAAGACAGGTAACCTGGCACTCATGGCACAGCTTAAAGACAGGTAACCTGGCACTCATGGCACAGCTTAAAGACAGGTAACATGGCACTCATGGCACAGCATAAAGACAGGTAACCTGGCACTCATGCCACCGCTTAAAGACAGGTAACCTGGCACTCATGGCGCAGCTTAAAGACAGGTAACCTGGCACTCATGGCACAGCTTAAAGCATGTGATCGCTTTGGTCAAATATTATAACAGAATATGCTGAAGTATAGTTGTACTACACTTCAACTAATAATGTCTATATTGTCTCTGTAAAAATTATTCTACTGGAAAAGCACGTCCGGAATAGAAGAAGAGTAGAAAATAAAAAGAGAGAGAACACGCCTTATGCTAAAAAAATTTTTTCTAACGTTTTATGCATTACTAGACTAGGTTGAAAGACAGGGAAGCATGCATGTTATCTGGCTCACTTGTATGTCTCTAGAGTGAGACGTCTCTCACGCGTGTCGGGGTCATTTACCTTTTTCATCCATATAGGTATTTCAGTTCAACTCGGCTTATATATTTGAAAATAATCTATAGTCCTCCTAACATTGCACAAAAAAGCTTCATAACACCCGTGTGATTTTCTTGTTAATTAGTTTTTTGATATCTCGGTCATCTATTATGCTGTGACTCCACTTCCCGTCCATATGCAAGATTAATGATTGACCTGAAATCCGTTACTATCATCACCATAATCATTATAAAAATAGACATCATCATACACGTACTGATGATATCTATGATATCACCAGTACTTGTAACAGCTGCAAGACCTTTGTGCTTGTGTCGGAGGGTCGCGCTACTTTTTTTCATTTTTGTTGTAACTCGGCCTTTATTTCATTTTGAAAATAAACTAATTTAAATAAATCCTAATTACAATCGATATATCTTATTTTGCATTAATAATAGGATAATAATTGAACGATGCGTACTGCAGGTCGGCGGAGGGCCGCGCGTGCGGCAACTTGGGCAACACACACTACCTGCTGGGCAACTTTGCTCAGGCCATCACCTACCACAGCGAGCGCCTCAACATCGCCAGGGAGTTCGGCGACAAGGCGGCCGAGCGACGCGCTCACAGCAACCTCGGCAACGCTCACATCTTCCTGGGCGAGTTCGAGACTGCGGCTGACCATTACAAGTGAGTGACTGGCCGACCATTACAAGTGAGTGACTGTGGGCGGCCATTACAAGTGAGCGGTTAACCATTAATATTGAGTGGCTGCCTCTGTTCATTACAATTGAGTGGCTGTGGCCGACCATTACCAGTGAGTGGTTGCCTCTGACCATTAAAATGAGTAGTCGCCGCTGACCATTACAAGTGAGTGGCCTTGGTCGCCCATTACAAGTGAGTGGCCTTGGTCGCCCATTACAAGTGAGTGGCCTTGGTCGCCCATTACAAGTGAGTGGTCGCCGCTGACCATTACAAGTGAGTGGTAAGTGGTAACCATAACTAGTGAGTGGCTGCCTGTGACCATTACAAGTTAGTGGTCGTCGCTGACCATTACAAGTGAGTGGTCAATCATTAATAGTGTGTGGCTGCCTCAGTCCATTACAAAGTGTGGCTGCCTCGGACCATTGCAGGTGAGTTGTTAACCATTGAAAATGAGTGGCTGCCTCGTACCGTTACAATGAGTGGTTGCTTCTAATCAGTACAAATGAGTGGCTGTGGTCAACCATTACTAGTGAACGGCTACGGCCGACCATTGCTAGTGAGTGGTTGAGGCCGATCATTACTAGCGAGTGGTTCCATTAATCTCTACTTGACCATTAATCTCTACTTGATCGTTTAAGAATAAAGACGGTTCATTGATATTGGAAAATTATTCCTGATTGATAAACTTGAGGAATCACGATTGTTGTAAAGTTTATCTTGGAAGACACTGTATTGAAGGTATTCCTAATTTTTTTATTTTTCTGACTTCAGAAAGACACTAGCGCTGGCACAAGAGCTGTGCGACAGAGCAGTGGAGGCTCAGGCCTGCTACTCGCTGGGCAACACCTACACGCTCCTGCGCGACTACCCCTGCGCCATCCACTACCATCTGCGCCATCTCGCCATAGCTCAGGTGCCAGTATAAATTATATTACTACCCCTGCGCCATCCACTACCATCTGCGCCATCTCGCCATAGCTCAGGTACCAGTATATATTATATTACTACCCTTGCGCCATCCACTACCATCTGCGCCATCTCGCCATAGCTCAGGTATCATTATAAATTATATTACTACCCCTGCGCCATCCACTACCATCTGCGCCATCTCGCCATAGCTCAGGTGCCAGTATATATTATATTACTACCCCTGAGCGAGCCACCTTTTCACAACCTTTTATGGGTCATGACCTGCAGTTTGGGAACCAGTGACTAATACGATCCCCTACAGCACGATGACCAAATGAAAGGGACGATAACATGAGAAAACTTGTCATTATGATTTTTGCATTAGTTCTCGCAGAAATGCGCTTGATTCGTGAATAAAAGGACGTGGCATCATTTTGCAGCTGGCCTGGGTATTTTCGAACGTTATACTTTGCTAATTTGTTCAAAAATTATTAATTTTTTGACTTTGTTAGTGGTTCAGTTTTTTTTAATAGTATAACGTGAAGAGATGTATTTGCGTGTATACTGTTGGATTTATATTTCAGTATTTTAATCGTGGGTGCATCATAAATATATTAGACAATCAATACAATGAGCAATCTGCTTTGGAACTATTAATTAATGCTGTACTTTTAATAAGCTTATTTGGTGTGGCAGGAGCTGTGTGACCGAGTAGGAGAAGGTCGGGCGTGCTGGAGTTTGGGCAACGCTTACTCAGCCACCGGCAACAATCAGAAAGCGCTACACTACGCCACTCGTCACCTCGCCATCTCCAGGGAGGTCAGTTCTCACTTTCTCATGAAATTTCTTACACAAGTTTGACGTATAAAAATGGAAATTGACTACTTAAATTGTCTAAGGAAGGTATTGTGGCTAGCACTGGTGAAATTGGTCTCGTAGAAATATAATAAGCTCGTCTACAAATTTTATTCAGTTAGCTGGGTTCCGTATCATTACGATTGCCAACAAATTTTATAACATTCACTCAGAAATAAGCTAATTAAAGCTGAAAAGTGTCAAATTTGCTGTTGATATTATATACGTACATCCTGAATAAATCATTGATGTCAGATTGGCGACAAGACTGGGGAAGCTGCGGCGGAGATGAACCTCACTGACATCCGACGTTCGCTGGGGCTGCCGCTGGATTCAGACTTCCTCCTGCAGGAGTTTGACGGTGGTACGCCAGATCTCTCCTCCGTCCGTAGGAAGAGCATGGAGAAGATGGACCTCCTGAAGGTGTGACGTGTGTAGGATCAGTTTGTTTAGCATAGGCCTGATAAATTTCTTCAAGATAAACGTTGTTCAAAGACAATTTAAATGCCCCCTCCCGGAGGTATCGAAAGTTTTGTACCATGATTGATGCTGCTAAGCTCAGAACGCAAGAACCTCCTGAAGGTGTGACGTGTGTGGGATAAGTTGGTATAGCATAGGCCTGATAAATTTTTCCAAGGTAAACGTAGTTCAAAGACAATTTAATTGGTATTGAAAGTCTTTGATCATGATTCTGCAAGGATCGAGCTATTCATTCAGTGATTAACAAATGTTGACATAAAAGGTAAGCCCTCCCATAGTTCTCGTACACGTTTCAATTTGGTTAAAGTAATTATTTGTTCTTTGATTTTACGTTCTTCATTTCAATATCGCCATTACTTATAGATACTGTGGACTTGTTTATCATATTGGATCAAGGTTTTTCACATTATTTTTTCTATCACCTTAATAAATATTTGAGCTTGTTTTTAAAATGTGTTAGTTAGTTTTATTCTTCTGTAAATAATTGAGAAAAAGGACTAACAACATGACGAGACATTTGTGGCCTCCTTGATAGCACTTACGAGGCTTTCATGTTATTTTTAGAAAATCACAGTATCCACTTAATTCTAATATGTTACATCATTTTGATCAACATATTCCGATTATGCCAGTAAACAGCCTAGTACCCAAGTTTTTGTTTCTTGATCTTACTTGTTGCTTGACAGAGGATTTCACAGCTTAATTTATCAACGCTTGGATCACATTCCTTTCTGTCCCGATAGTTTTGATGGTATGCACCTCAACTCTATTTGCACGCTTCATTACATTATCATGTCAATTAATCCCCGAACTATGTTTTTGCTTTCGTTTGCTATGTACTTAGTACAAATCAAGCGTGTAGTTTGCTGAAATGGGATACATTTAAATTACTCATCTATTCAGTTTTCATGCATTGACCTGCCTACAATTTAGAAATATCCATAATGTTGTATTTATTATTTGCCATTCACTATTTTATTTTGTTGCTTATCTTTTATTTTGCTTGGGTGTTTGTGTGTGGGGCATCAGATGACCCCTGATTTTGGCGACGATCGCGTTGGTGTTGTTTTTACCGGCACTCCCGCCTCCTCAAGACAGCGCTGCACCCCCAACAGAACAAGACTTGCCTCTGTACCTTCCCATGACCTTAACGTGAGTCCTTATAAATTCCATCCGCCACGAAGATTTATAAATTTACGGTCACTGCTCACTGCAGGCTTTATCTATTCAATATAAGCCTCTTTTCAAACATTGAAAATTATTTTCTCAGCATTTGTCAGCGTTTTTTTTTTTGCGGACAATGTTTCTACATAGCTGCTACCTAATATTATTGGGTTGTTGATCTGCCGACCGAGGCTGAGGGCAGCGGAAAACCGGAGGACACTACAGCGTGGCCTGGGGCTGCTACGTCTGAAACATATACTAAATAAACGTCTATGCATTGCAGGGCTCGGTTAACGACGAAGGCAACAATGTCGACGAAGACAGCTTCTTCGAGCTGCTGACGCGCTTCCAGAGCACGCGTATGGACGACCAGCGCTGCACTCTTGCGGGGGAGGGCGCTCCTCAGCCTCGCCCCCTCCCGGAGAACGACGATGGGGCACCTGTGCTTAATGGTTCGGCAATTTACGCAATTATTAAGCTAAGATTATTATATTTGGTAGAGAAATTGTTGCAAAATGTTCCAAAGATAGGTTGCAAATGAAATTATTTTTTTGTGCTTCAACCAAATTGGTTTGAGTAATGGCTTTAACTTTTTGTTTTCGTAGTTTTAAAATATTGGAACTTTTAATACATAAAATTTAATATTTTTACTTATTAAATTTATGCAATTTCTACATTCTCCCTGCTGATGAATCATTATTGGAATATCGTTTTCATTGCCGTGATTCTTTAAATCAATGCACATAATCATATTGACTTCACCGCTGAAATGTGATTGATGATAAAACAAAGACCGCAATTCTAATACAATAATGGCAGTTGACAGGCTATGATTCAATCGTGGGATCTCAGTTATTAGGGAAAATAATTCATCACTGTCATTTACGGCCACAAATTTTGACGGTTATTGTGGCCAGAGGCACTGTCCAAAATACCTCTAGTAGTAACAAACTATCAACGCATATTAATATTTAACAAATAATATTGTTCATTGAATTATTTCCTTGGAGGAGAAATCACAAGGCTAGTTATAATATCATTAAGTATCATATTATTAAACCTTTAATTACAATTGAATTTTTGTTGGTGATCATAAACCGTAACTAAAGCAACATAAACGAACGATGGTTATTTTTCAGCAGGATAATTGAGAATTTAATTGTGTTTCAGCCGTAACTAAAGAAACATAAACGAATTATGTTTATTTTTCAGCAGGATAATTGAGAATTTAATGGTGTTTCAGCCGTAACTATAGAAACAAAAACGAATTATGTTTATTTAATGCAGGATTATTGAGAATTTAATTGTATTTCAGGAGCGGTGGTAGGGGCCCCCGAGCGCGTGGTGGGCCGAGGCGAGCAGCAGCCTGAAGAGCTGCTCGAGCTCATCGTCGGCATGCAGAGTCGTCGTATGGACGAGCAGCGAGCCACACTCCCCAATGTCAGACTCTTATACATACACTTATGTGGCACTGCATTAAAATTAATATAATGTACGATTTTTATGGATATTTTACGTGTCCATGCATAGCAGGTAATACAATGTGAGATTCTTCTGCATACACTTATGTGTCACTGCATACAAATTATTATAATGTACGATGCTTATGGATACTCTACGAGTCTATGCATAGCAGTTAATACAATTTGAGATTCTTATACATTCACTTATGTGTCACTGCATACAAATTAATACAATGTACGATTCTTATGGATATTATACGTGTCCATGTACAACAGTTAACACAATTTAAGTTTCTAATACATACGTTACGTGTTCATGCATAACAATTAATATAAACTTAGATTCTCATACATACTTAATATATCCATGCACAACAGAGCTGATGAAATATGACACTTTGATCATAGGGGTGACAGGAAGCGTTGTAAGTCTCGTTTTGTAATTGCTATTAATGACCTTTGTTATTGAATGATGAATGAATCTCCTTAGGTGATAAGTTGAGATTTTTTTCAAATCTGTTACATATTTTAAAATTTGTTTTTTATGTATTTAACTATGCCTTGCAGTTGTTGGGGCTAAGCAGTTCCTTACTTTGACTATGTCATGCAGTTGTTGGGGCTAAGCAGTTCCTTACATTAAGTTTGTCATGCAGTTGTTGGGGCTAAGCAGTTCCTTACATTAAGTTTGTCATGCAGTTGTTGGGGCTAAGCGGTTCCTTACATTAACTTTGTCANACGGTGCCAGGTATGGTGATACTTCTTTGACATGCTTATACGGTGCCAGGTATGGTGATACTTCTTTGACATGCTCATACGGTGCCAGGTATGGTGACACTTCTTTGACATGCTCATACGGTGCCAGGTATGGTGACACTTCTTTGACATGCTTATACGGTTCCAGGTATATTGATTGTTGCTATTCAATATAAGAACTTCTGCTTGATCGACGTGATAAAAAGTGATTTTAATGAATAGGGGCCAATGGGGAAACTAGCTTTTAAGAAAGAAACAACTTCGAATAGAAGATTGATCTTGCAGATCTTTAATCAATGGATACCTTTGTTCTTAATTGTATTTTCTTTTTGCAGAGCTCCCGGTTAGAAGATCAGCGCTCGACTCTCCCCAACGAAGACGTTGGTGACGGTAACGTAGCAGCGCTGCTGCCGCCAGCCGCGCCCACGGTGCCTGACGACGACTTCTTCACGCTTATTATGCGCTTCCAGGCCGCCGGTAGACTGGAAGATCAGCGATCCGCGCTTCCCACCTGCAATAATAACAATAATTCTTCACCGAATGCCAACAATATTGTAGGGGATGATGGCGGTAATGAGCTGGTGAGTGCCATGGAGGTCCTTCAAAGTCTTGGCGAAAGCGTTCAAGAGAACGGGGATGCGTCTGCAGCTGATAGGAATAGCCTCTTATCCCGAGGCTCGAATGCTTCCAGCACTGGCGTTGTGGTTCCCACGGGGGGCCTCACCAAAGCCATCCTAGACAGAATTAGAATAACCAGCAAAAGTAACAGCCTTGATATAGGACATGCAAGTTCTTCGAGTAACTCAGCTTCTGTCGATAAAGAAGACGAAGGTGCGAGTGCTCCAGATGGCATGGCCAATGGAACCAAGGAAAAGCTAATCAATCGACTGGTCAAGAGTAGAAAATGAGGATAAAAAAGCTATGTGTGGAACAATAAGTGAAAGCATCAATACGCTTCTCACATGATCGAAGGTCCCATTGAATAAGTCAGCCATTCTTTGTAAACTTGGTGTCATTTTCGTCAACTGGACTCTCGTTGCTGCGGTTTAATGCCTCTATTTGAGGTTTAAGGTTTTCAATGCATACTACCGTTCAATGTTTTCACTAATAGCCCAATGGACTGAAGAATTGAGGGGACCAAGAGTATATGAAGAAGATATAGCGAAGGGAATTAGCTCACGTGAGTCTATGTGGTTCAGTCTCCGTTTTTATTTCATCATCCATTGCTGTGATCAGTGCGAGCATTAGCCAAATGTAGTCTAATACTTTATCGTATAATGTCTATACCAATTTTGCTGTTCTTAGTACTATTATCACTGTTGTGTGTGTTGCTGTGTAATTTTATTAATATTGACTGCCGAGTGATTTTATGTTTACGTTGAAGCGTCTCGTTTGCCTGAGTCTGTAGAAGGGCAAATTTTGAGCCACTTCAACACCAAGGTAGTTGTTTGTGGAAGTATTGCAATCTCAAGCGCCTGTATGTACGTTCATTCATTTGGAGTTATTTGCATTTTTCTCCATTTTTTGTAGGAGCAGTGTAAAAATTGTATTATGCTTATAATTTTAAACGAGTGTAAACAAAAAAACAGAAGTTTAAACAAAAACAGATAAATACACACTATAAGTTACAATTGTCATGGATAAAAATCTTTCGCGGTTAAAGTAAATTTTTTGTAATTCTACTTGGTCTTGGAATGTATATGAGAGACTAAATTATTCGTTATTACAGATGTCTCATGAAAAATTTGCTCCCGAATTTCTGTTAGGTCTAAATTTTTTTAACTAGGTACAGTTAATTGCATAGTAATCACGAATTTGTTTATGAAATTGATAGTGTTTGAGGCCGTAATCATTGCATTGTTGCTGCCAAAAATTTCGTGTCGCAAATAGGCCTAAGTTTGCAATAGCTATTGATGACAGACTAATTCTGCCTCAATTTTCATGTAAATAATTTGTATATCTTAAGCCTTCGCTTGTCTCTGGTGCTCCCTGATTGTGCTATTGAAGCAGGTGTTACGACTTCCTACGATTTAAATTCTATTTAATCTATGAAATAGAAGTTGAGTTGATTCATTCCATTGAACATTTCTTGTTTGCTTTTTATCAGATTAGCTTTTTAGTATTAATTTACTTTTCTAGAGGTACGTTTCTCAGCAAAGACAGTCCTTTATCCTCGACCGAACCCGATATTCGTTGTTGTATGCACTGAACTGGGTACTTAGCAGCTGTCGTAGATGTGCGTTGATTATAAAGGATACTTGGAAACTGTTTTCTTCTTGCGCCTGATGAAGCTACTGCGCAATGGTTTTGGATAATCACCGATCAGGCAACTGTCAACAATAACAACTGTCAACAATAACAAACTGTTAACAATAACAAGACGTCTTGGCAACTCTAAAATTTGCGGCTACTTTTCGCTAGCTCATATTTTCATTCAAAATAGAGGGTGTAACTGCTATTATTAACAACGATCTATTTTGAATTTACTCTGCAATTTTAGGAGCTTCAAACTTCAGACAAAAATATGTATGCGCAAACGTTGATTTGCATAATTTTTACTGTTGAAGGTTTACACTTTCTTAACTCTCAAGTAAAAACTACAGAATAATATGTATTTTTCTACGAATGATTTTTCTCTCAAGTTCGGACTGAGCAATCCAGTTTCTTCTTTGACCTGTCGACATAGATAATTTTGAAGTTTATATACCACCCAATTATGTATACGTCTAAGATACCTATGTACATCTTTAATGCGAGAGAACTAACTAGCTTCAAGGAGACTGTTTCAAAATGGTTTCAACCATTGACTGACTTCGGTACGTTTCAGAAAAAAAAAAAATTATGGGTCAGTCATCGAAAACATATTGGTGCAACTTTAGCGTTGATAATTGAGTCAGCAAGTATTAACAGTGGCTCAGGACTCGTCAATTGGATACTCTTATTCGTCAGAATCTTCCTCGTGTTGAAATTGCTGCCTTTGCAACGTACCACTTTACTCATCGCACTCGCAGTGTTGCGGGATAACTCGTCATGAGTGGGGCACCAAACTTCCGATATAAGTTGTACGAGTTGAATCTGTTCATGTAGTCAGAAGGCTTATATTTTCTCATTATACTCTATTTTCTAAGGTTTTGAGGCACAAGCTTCTAATACCGCACGTTCGTCGTCCGTTGGAGTTGGTTAGACACTCTCACCCCCACTCTGTCAATGGTTAGATAATCTCTGCTGAATCTGACTCCTATTCCTATGTATTCCTGAATCTCTTCCTATAGCCAGAAACGTATATTTTCTTATAATTAACCTTCTGGTAGAATTAGCTTGCATGTCATTGGTACCTATAATTTTTTTCCCCGATCACCTAGCCCCGTAGAAGCTATTGATGTATATTGGATTTTTACTATTGTTTCTTCGCAAGTAATCGGGACATTATGCTTACATTCCAATTAAGCGTGGGAACTGTGCAGATAATGATAAAGGTAATCCATTATCTGTTAGTGGACAGGCTTTTCCATCACGTTATTTAAATCAAAGTGTTCAATTTAGTGCATTATTTCCCAAGTTTTAATTTCATTTCAGGATTAAGATCTTCAAATTATTATTCATCAGTTGCCCCTCAAGCTGCCATCTTGCTGCTAGCCACGTTTGTCTTCACTTTTAATATACATTATTCCTACTTTGCCCACCGACGCATTGCATAGCGTTTCTTCTGCTTGGTAGCATCAGTATATTTTCTTGGACTTGGTCATAGACTATTGTCATTTTCGCTTAAGCCAATATTAAGTATGTTCGCTCAAGCACTATTGGGGATAGGATCTTTTCCTAGGTAAGACTAAAAAGCTCTTTGGTGCCAAACTTATCAGTATCTTGCACCACGAATTTCTCATGGTATGCATTCCTTATCTTTAGCTTGGGAGTAAAATGTCCCTGCATTTAGCTTGCCTGAATTACTTATTTCAAGAGCAGCCCCACACTAACATGATTTCCTGGTGGCTTGATGTGTAATTTGTTTCTTTCATTATACTGTATTATACTGAAGGTCCGTAAATTTATTCAATAGTGCATGTAAAAGTCGGGGCAGAAATTTTACTTCAACCACTAATGTCATTTGTTCTAAAAATTTCTTTAATATCGACTAGGGTTCCTGCGCTATGTTCCCTTAAATTTTTGGGATTGTTTTTAAATAAGTTTGACTCGTTCATCATTTTGCATTTAGAAGATATGTTAGCTCACTCGAAGAAGCTATTATTTTTATTGTAATTACTTTTGTTGTTGTTGTTGTAATAGCCCATCCTGGCAGTGGCGACTAGAGTGGGGGGTGATAGGTCAGTTTTTCCGGGTAGTTCTACGACCATCACTGGCTCGCTGACCCGCCAGAACCATTTGGTTGCATTACACAATACCCTGAACAAGCCAGGTACTCGTTTATCAACCAGAGTTGGATGAATGGCTGAGTTGACCATGAGCTGAGCTTCCCGGTAGAACTTGTCCTCAGAGGGACTCGAATCTGGGCGCTGGGTGCGAGAGACGAGTCTCTCACCACTGCACCACACAGCTACAATTACTTTTGTGCTAAGCCTCATCGCAAGAAATATCACGGTAGACTTCGAACTCTATTACCCGAGCACGCTGATACGAGTATACTTTTTTAGAGCATTTTTTCAACGACTCTTGCATTAAGGAACCCTATTGAAGGTGACGTGAACCCGATCGAATCTAATTATTTTTGGGTATTAAACTATGCTATAAAATTTTCTGGCGCTATTGTTTAAGACTTTGTCTTTCCTTAGGTATAACTCAGCGCCACAAAAAGATGTTATTTGATGTGTAGATCGTCGTCGAGCTGAAGGTAAGGACATTAACGACTGTCTCATGAAGACGTCAGTAGAGGCTAAATTTTCGTCAAAGTGTAACATTCCTGTTTTTTCTACTCCCTGCTAATTCATTAATATTTTATAAAAATGCCAATAGATGTTTGCTCGCTTTAATTTTAATGGCTTTGAATTTTCATTACGCTGTTTTTCTTATGTTCTGTGTAATACAATTTACCATCCGTGTTCACGAATGAGGCAAGTATCAACGAACATGATGTTGTCGCTAGTCTGTAAGTTCGTCTTGTGTATCAATTCTTCTCGCTTCTCTATGTCGTGTTGTACTAAATGCGCTATCTTTCAGAGTCGTTCAAGTGATCTGTGTGGCCGACTTCAATAGGCATCTGAAAATAAATGTGTTGATAGTCAACAAACTTTTTATCCTTGCTCCAAAATATACCACAATTTTGAAAAAAATTGATGGGGAATACAAATAAGTCCGACTATGATTTAAGATTTATTATTTGAATACCTATCTTATTCAGAAGCACTTAGCGGGGTTGAAAGTTAATGATATGCTTGAAATCGTGGTATTAGTTCCTTGAATTTAATCTTGTCAGGTTGTCATGTTTATTTCTTGCAGAATTTGGTGCATTACTCCTTGATTTCCATCAATGAACTAAACTGAATTTGCCTTTTACACTTACCTTGAACCTTCTTAAAACACTGCATCAATCTCCAGTAAACCTCGAGGAAAGGTATAAATTCACTGTGATAAGGTCGAGGAGTTAAAAGATTCATATTGCGCACATACTTTATTATAGCCCTTGACAAGTATCTTCTGATAGGCTTCTTAGAATATACATCTTATTCGTTCTCATTTATATATACTCGCGTCGTGTACCGTCGATCAGTCGAATCTTAATTAACTTGTACAGAGGTTTCCGCTGTCAAACTCAAGTGTTTGGCCGCTGAGAGATTACCTGCCTAATGCACTGTGGCGGAGATTGAGAATAAAGGTTACATTTCCTATTGCAAATCACATCTCTTGCTATCTTATCTCCGGGTAATTCTATCTGCCGCTCTGACAATCCTTCACTGCGCGAAGTGAAGAAGTTGGCGGGTTAATTTGAAAGAAGTTTTTTTATTTTCATGCGTGATAGCGCTTGTCACCTGTAGGCTGATAGCACAGCACTTGAGAACGCACTATTGAATGTATGAATCATGGTGCATTGCGTGGATGTGATCGCGTACTTCTTATATACCTATTACTTTTGAATGGAGCGTTGACACTGGACGGTGCCTGCTGGTCTAGGGCTGATGATAGCTTCTTTTCGCTCCTTGCTATCCCTTTTCGCTGCTTCTGATTCTTCTGTAATTTATTCGGATTCTTTTGTTATTTATTCTGTCTAGTAATTTCTTGTTTATAATTTTATCGCGATGTGCTGTACTGCTTTACAAATTCGTGATTTGGTCGCCTCTAAATTCTTAAAAATTCTGAGAACAGTTCCCAATTTTGTATTCTAGTTTTTTTTAAACGTAGATTTGGTTTAAACTTTAGAAGAATTTTTGTGTAAATTTTATCTAGAACAGGCTTACATTTTTCCTTCGTGGTCTCCGTGAATTATGCAAAGGATAAATTTTGAGACAAAACTTAAAAATTGAGCTCTTAAATTGGATTCATTATGATGCTTACCGTGTATCGTTTAAGTAAGCTTTGTGGAAGTGCTATGAGTTTTTTTATAGCTCTTATCGAGGCTGTAGGATCTCAGACAAATAACCGTTATCAGTGTCAAAACGACACCTCGTTTACTACTTCATTCTTATCGTCTCTTCGTGATAAGAGGATGAACCCTCAAGATGCAATCAACCCTCCTTGAAGAACCATGCAGCAAATCTGTTGCAGCTACGCCAAGTTTTCTAGGCATTTTTCTACTGCCTCAATTATATATTTCAGCTTTTAAGCTCTTCGTGTCACTCTGAGTTTATTTCAAAATTTCCGCAACGAGTTAAGTGATCGTTTCTATTACTAAATTAGAATTATTGCTTGCATAAGCGTTGCTAATAAAGTTTGTTCAATGCCCATTCTCTCATATCTCGAGTTGTGGTCCCTCTGTATGAAGGCGGAGCTTCTAGCCATCGCTTGCTTTATCAGACAAACGTTGAAGTTCGTTGCGTCGCTATTCATTTCAGTGCAGGGAATGGAAAGCTTTACTCGGGTCATCATTATTATTGTAGCAGGCGCTGCTCGAGGTCTCGGTTATGAACTCTCCGGCTACGTGAGTGCCGAGAACACATTACAGGTTTTCTGGATTCTAACAGTGCATTTGAAGTGTAATAAAAATCGTTGCTTGCTGCACTAACGTCTGTATTTAAGACCCTGATGCGTATTTTATACCGCTCTGAAATGTTTACTATAGACAGCATACTTTCTTCGAAGAAGAAGGATGAATCTGTACAGAGTTCCAAGGACGCTTCCCTTACCTCTTTGGGAGATTTCAATGAAGTCATTACAAGAATTCCAACGACTTCTAACATTTCCGACTCGCCGGTCACCACAATCGCCAAACCTGTCGCTGTTAGACCCGGTGTAATTATTGAACCGTCGCTAGGATTTCTGAGACCAACGTCTTCAACTCGTGATAGATCTCGTGCATCTTTTTCGTCAGCTGAAGATGAAGTGTTCACGAGACCACAGACGTCACCTCTTAATTTACACACTTCCACCACGCGACCTTCACCCACGAATGCAGCTTCCGACTTCTCTACCGAAGACATCGACGTGTGCAGCTCGGAATCTCCGATTTCTGTAGGATCCGACAGACTTCGGTCCCCTAGTTATTGTACTTCTTCTACGGTTTCACCGATTGGCCTTGTTTCCCAGACTGATTCAATGTTGAGGAGACCTGATTTTCTTGCTGTTTCTTCTCGCCACTCAGCTTCCATTGAAGCTCGGATGTATTTTTCTCGACATCGATCGTCTACTAGTAGCACAACTCCAAGTGATCCATCACCTACCAGTGGTGATCAGATGTTCCCGGCACCGAGTGGTTATGGTGAATTCGATGATTACCCATACTCGACCCCTACTTACCGATTCCCTTTGCCTGTAGTAACTAGCCATAGTCAAGAATTTTTACGAGCCCCTCATTTCATGACTCCCAGAATCGGACCAAGCGGAGAAATTTCCTCGCCTCGGCTGATGGGATCATCTTTGATGCGTGATTTACCATCGACCAGCAATATGTCAATGTGGAGACATCTCTGCGAACGCAGGCCAGCTCAGCTCTGTTCAGTTTTTGATCCCGGTGAGTGTCATTTGTTGGGGTTCCACCACTTGCATCTCTGATGTTCAGCGTTTAACGAGCCTATTTCTTTTATGTTTTTTATGAGTGTAATACGGTACTTGATCTAACTATTCCGTTGATATATGAACCGAAGAGTACCTGCTACCTATATTTGCTATATAAATTTGCTAACATTTTGTTAGATGTGTAAGCTTTTTATTCACTTCACGGCAATTCCGTTTTATGGATCATATGTTTGCGTTTAGAAAATCAAAACATCAAACTTTTCATTTGCACTTCACATATCTTTTGTAATAGTTGTGCAAATAACGCACACGTTAAAAACGACTGAAACATTCATGATTTCTGAAATTCTTTGGATATATCGGACCTGAAAAAATAGGTTTTGTAATGTTTGATTTTTCTTTATTAAATTTACGTCTTTTCAAAGATTTTTCCTTGCACCTTATCCTGTCTGGTATGTTACGTATACCAATTGTAAGTCTTATATTTTTTCCTTCCTCTTTTTCAATATTCGTTATGCTTCACAAATGATTACTGTAAGTACTTCAACCGTTGCTGTTATCGTTTAGTCTTAAATTATTTTCATTAATTTATTTATGGCCGCTAGCATGAATCTATTCGCTCGAGCAAATATTTCCGTAGCGTGTCTCCCGTGGACCAGTTAGGTCGGTCGTTTATCAACCAATTATTGGAGAACATGCTCTTCTTCCTGTCCACAATCACCGCCATTGATAAACTAAGACGAACTTTTTTACCAAGAAACGCTTAGGATCGACACTGTGGATGTACCTTACGTAAATTATTGAACCGACATTTGAATCGCATTTGACATATTTTTTTACTCGGATCAGCGCAAAAAAAGACTATATTAAGCTGGTCTCGCTGTATTTTATCACATTTTTCTATGACAAAAATCAATGTTGCTCCTAGTATGAACACTTTCAGTATCAGACTAAATGAAGCTATGAAGAATTATAAATTCAGACTTGAAATGCCTAGCATGCTGCGGACCAAGTAGAAGTCTTGCAGCTACTTCAAGTCAACGTCAGTTTTGAAAAGAGTCAAAGGACCTGTTTTTATAACTCCTGTGAACAAGTCACGAAAAGTAGCTGAATCTGCGACAGGCCACACCAGGCTTAATTTTACTCCTCAGTGCCGACAACTCTGTACCATGCTTGCTATACTATGCCGTATATAAGCAGACGCCGTTCTTCAATGAAAACGGTCTATTTTATAAACAAAACTGCACCACAACTTTGCAACGAGATCAATACTGCTGTGTATTTTTTTAAGTGGTAATCGAACCACAATTACATTGTTCTGACAAGTATTAACATTTTTCATTGGCGAGCGGCGAGTTAAGTGCAGTATCTGCTGAGTGGCCACTCGTATGTCATTGACGAGGCTGCCAACAATACAAGTCGGGAACCGACCGCGAATGGAGTGTATTTCTAACTGAATTAAATCTTAATAATTAATTCATAGGTGTTACATTTCAATTCAATTAATGTTATGCATGATAATCTATAACATTAATCAAGGTAGATTAATCAAGTCCACTTCAGTGCAAGTAGACTTGAAACTATCATGCAAATATTACAATGTTTTGGGCTCAGCGCCAGTTGGTGATATAATCCAACAGCTCCAGACGAAAGTTGATATTTTTCGTTATTTGACTTAATTACAGCGAAAAACTAATCAGTTTCTGCTTGAAACAATAAATTTTCAGCAATTTTTCTCGAAAACAGAAGACCTAGGGAAGTCATCTGGGAAGTCGGCAATGAACAAACGCAAAGAGTGAAGTTGCATGTCGATAAATTGACTTGCGACGTATGGCGTTATCGTACTGGGGTAATTGTCAGGTGTCATACCAGGAATAAATCACGGTTACTGTGCGGAGTTCATGACAGTCTTTATCTATTTTAAAGGTATTGCGGTGACTTCCAACTTAACTTGCCGTTCTGGGAACAATAAAATATAAAAAAAATGAATGTTCGATCACCAGTTGGAGGCAAACGATCACATTGTACCTGAACGCTATCATTCACAGTTCGAATGCATGGCATTATAACGACGTCGAATTTAGGTATTGTCTTTCAATTCTAAGCTTGCGGATTTGATTCGCCTGTCCTAAAGATAAATTGATTGATATGCAGATGGTGCGGAGCGGTTGCTTCAAAGTACGATGGCTATTTATTTATACCTACATTTTACCCAACGCGCTTACTTAAATCGCAATATGAATTTTATTGACATTTCCGACCGGTTTTCATTACCTCTACAAATATCATACAACTAGTGAACGTGATAAGCTTCTTGGATTTTTTATATTTTTTTTGGTCCTTGAATCCGGTTGTTGACCATCATACCCTTTTGCTAATTTTTGAAGCAATAAAGAATTATTTGGCTTCTCCATTGTTTTTTTTTCCTTTTGGCTGTTTCAACCTTATTTCTACTCTTAGTATTTATTTTTTTATTCAATTCCTGTTACTTCATTTAATAATTTAATTTGCATTTGTAGAGTACGGTATGAAAAATTCCTCGTTTGTCCAGTTACACAAACTATTCGACTTCATCTTCCTTGCTGAGGTTGTCATAGGAGAAGACCTCGATTAAAAAAAACATCTTCCATAACAGTAATAATTAATTTTAAGATTGGTTTGCATTCAAACTCTACACTAGGTCCGCAGTAAATTGGGCATTAGCTTTTGGTTTATGAACCTGCGGCTTACTATGACAGGTTGTTTATCCCGGGACACAATGGTATTAAGATTCGTGTTCGTAATGCGTAATATATAATGTGCCAATAAACTACTAATTAAGCTGTAGAAATATCAATAATGTGTTCTTTTGGCAGGCGCAGCGTATCCTTACCCGGGACCGGTGCCCCCTAGAAGGAGAGGCGGTCAGGTTCGGTTCTCAGGCCTACAGACGCGGCGGTTGGAGGAGGTGTTTGAGGTACAGAAATACATCACGCCCGGACACAGGAGACAACTCGCGCAAGAACTTGCGCTGCACGAGCGACAGGTGCGGACCACAGAGACGAGTTTGTGCGATGATGTATTAATTCATTTCATGTTTATTAAATGATCTCTTAGTGCCTAAGATGTTTATTGATGATATCAATAGAATGTAGATATTTTAGGTGCGGAGACGAGTTAATGCGTTACCGTAATAACAAGGGTTGTCAGATGGCCAAAAGAACGGCCAAGTACGCAGGACACACAAATCTTAATTGATATTACATTACTTCTAACTTGTAAGCATGCCTAATATTTCATTGAATAGTCTCACTCCGCCTTCTCCATAAAAACAGAAGTCATATAATACCATAACACTCGAACTTTTTTATTTTGCTTTCATAAATAATTTTTAACATATGATTCGCACGACTCCATTTTCATTTAAGAAATTTTCTACAATGAGAATGAAGAATGGGCTTTGATAGATTGAAATTGTATTATCATATGTTATGTAAGTATAATTTCATATCTCGCAATTACATTTCTGTGTCTTAAAAAACTGACTGCCTTACATAGGTATGGTTTAGCTAGAACGGTTTTACTGCTAGCTTTTATCATGGTAAATGCTACTATTAATTATTATTTATCTGTATGTTTTTATATTATATTATTCTAAAAATGCTTCAAAATCAAGATCAAGTAGACAAATCATGAACACAAACGATAATAAAGATTATGCTGCCACTCATAATACGTTTTTCCTGCAATAAAAACTTTATTGTAGCAAATCTCAACTTGATGAAATAATAATATTCGCTAACTTTATATTTTCACGTAAGCTTGTAAAAAATTTATCTCTTCTCGCCATCTCTTTCAAGTTTCAATAACCCTTATTTACAAAAAAAATTATTTTATTTACAATGTTGCATCAATTTCGGGTGGGATGGATGTATCAGTTTTGATTTTCTATAACCTTCTATCCATGCCGCAACTTTTTCAACATTCAACTCAATTATCGTTTCTTACATGAATCGTTTATCGTTTTTATAGTTTCTACATGAGCCACCACTTTACTTGCGAAAGCTCAAGTATCAAATTATATTATCTTAGAGCACTTGAACTTTTGTTAATAACTGTATAGTGATCAATTAACTCGGGACAAATCACTAACTTCCATGAAAAATATGCATACACAATCTTTGAATAACCAGCAATTTTGTTACACAAACTTTTTTTTAATTTTTCAAAGCGCACTGTAAATTTTTTTCCTGTAATTTATACAATGAACATTGCACTTTTTTGCTGTATTCTTTAACAATTTTTTATTTTTATTTTAAAATAGCACGTCAGTAGATGCTTCAGTTAGGATACTTGGAACAACGACTACTGAGGTTGAAGATTGACAGTTGATTGAAGTACAATAGATGGCTCAGGTTAACCAAATTTCTCCGCTTGTAATTCATCCCTTGTTGTTTATGCAGGTTAAAACTTGGTTCCAGAACCGCAGAGCGAAGCATCGGAAAGTTTCAGCTCATGTGAGTACATAAATGTAATTTAATTATATTGAAATGTAATAGGCCGCTCTACCGCACCAAATATTTTGTTCTTTCTTGAACTTGGTCTTTCTTGAATATAGTCTCTAATTCTTCTGATATCAACTTCACCAATGACATTACTGCTTGCTTAGAAAGGTGTAACCGTTGTTATACAAACTTTATTTAGTAAATAACAATAGGATTTAGTTCAGACTGACTAACAAAAAACGTGGGCGTTTGATAATTTTTTATACATTTTCATAACTGCAAATTGAAAAGTTCCGCTGTTTTAAGCGTTTATGAGTTTATAGGAACTATTGAATCATGACTGAACGGAATCGCTCTAGAACATTATCTATACACGGGAATTTTATTTGTCACTACGACATCATGCACTCGAATCTCAAGTTGTTAATTCCGGTGACCGAAAATCAACCAGTAAAATATATACGAGTTCGCGCCTATGACGTTCAGATTTTTGAGCTTCAAGCATGTAATCTAAAAGATACATGATGGCCTGTCCGTGCTTGTCATCTCATCAGAATGATGTTAATGAATGAAATTGAAAACTCTGCTGTGGTAAATTGACCCGAGAACAGTTCTCGGAGTTTATCTATGAGCCACTTCACGCTACTGATAACAAACAAATTAACGCTATGGTAATATTTGATACATGAAATCTTGTTATTTATATCTCGCATGAGCTAGTCATTGACTTTCAAACTTCATACAAACAAAGCCAATTTTACAAGGCTAACCTGCATGAATTAATTATATTGATTAAAATAGTGGATAAATTACTTTGAATCAAATCAGTCATTCGTTCGTAAGTTTAAACATTTAACTCCAAATTTGCCAAAGTTCTCAAATTTCTCGAGCACAATTTTTTCTCATTATATACTGTGATTCTTTGGTTTGCGTGATTTTACTATTCGTTTTGACAGTATATAATTGCGGTTGCAACCGAATTTTGCACTTTCTTGCTGGCAACATGCTACAAGATTTTAACTAATATTTTTTTTCTGTGAGTCTGTTTAAGCAGTGTACCGTGGTAGGTTCAGATGAGGATTGTAGTCTGTGAACACGTATGAACAGTTCGCTCTCGCTATTTCTTACTCAGTGTGATACTTTCTCGCCACGATCGAGATGAAAATTACATTCACACTCTTGCCCTGCGTCGAAAAATTTGTGCAAAGCCTTTTAAGTGAGTCACGATTGATCAAAATATACTATTTAACAGCATAATAAACTTGTAGAAAAATGCATAAAGATGAACTTTTTCTGAACAGAAAATGCACTGGCGTCATGGCCTACTGTATTGCACTCGTAACCATCCGAGGTTCATTGGTAGAGATAAGCGTTACAGATAACAAAACTCTTCACACTCTTCATCTGAGTGCCGTTCCGTCTTCAATTGCACTGCAATCACGGCTTATAGCGAATATTGCGCCGTAAAAACATGAAATCCCTGCACTTGTGGTGTGATTTCACGGAAGAATCTTTTATTGAGCTTTATTTGTTGATAAAACAAATAAAAAATAAATTTATTCGTTGATAAATGGTAGGGTTTTGCAGTGAAATATCGAGTAAAAGAATGGTTACATTTTGAAATAAAGTTTCGCACTTTGCTTCATGATTGAATTTAAACTCAAATCTATAATGAATTTTTTGGAGACTAGAGTAAAAAAATACCTCAAATGATATCAGCATTAATTCACATATGAAGCGGCAAAATATAATTTAGAAGTTTTGAACAAAATTGTGAGTGGTTTCTGCTTCAACACGCTTTATAGGTTTATTGACGCGGCTCAATTATTATGTTTAACTCAAAGCCCTGAGTGTGAATGAGCTTGATGAACTGACACGCATGAATTGAAAATTTTCATCCATTCAATAAATTTTTGGAGTTTAGAGATTCCCTATGTGTTTTTAGCGCATTTTCTCATTTATGGAAAAAGGCGCTACTGTGCTCGTCATGTCCGTCCGTCTGTCTGTCTGTCCGTCCGTGACTTCACGTTTTCGTCGACGAGAAAATACGCTCTCTGTCACTCACTGCAGTGATTACTGAGTTATATTTTTCCATGTTTACGACGTCTATAACTATACGTAATTTGGCTCATAATTGCCAATATTACACAAAATACACATTTCAATTGTTCTATTGCGTTAAGGGGTAATCGAAGCTCATATCGATAGCTCGAAGTCATGTAAGTTTGATAGCGCAGTAATTGTTCAAGCGAAGAATTCAATTCTGGAGTTTATCTCTCATCGATGGTGAAGTGCCCGTAATTAGATCATTGGATCAGAGCTAGATTGCTGTCAATAAGTCCATATATGAGCCTTATTGGTATCTTTCAAGTCGATGTGCAGCTCATATAACGTCATTGTGCCCTTTATTAATCCAGATATGAGCATAGATGTGTTGAAATACATTGAGGATGATTGAGCATCCAAGGTCAATCATGACTTATTTCCAAATATTTTGTTCAAATGCCTTACCCGATAAGAACTGCTTCATTAAACAGTTGCTGATGAATGAGTATTTGTGAGTCGGTATGATCAGGTTTTACGGTAATTTGGTATTATTGAAACGATTTTAATTGACTACGTTAACTTGAACAGAGCAGAAAATATTTAGGGACAAATTTTACGTTTGTGTGAGAATGCATTAAAAACAATATTACTTTGAGAAATTCTAGGAAAATAAAATAATTATAACTAAGTCTTGATATGTTACCACGTTTTTCTTAGTTTCGCTTCGTCTCCAGGAATTTAAAAGCAAAGAAAATACCACAAAAATTCACCATATCTTTTTAAGAGAAAACGTTTCGGAGTCCAGCTCCATCGTCAGTTCAAACCACAAAATTCTGTTCAGAAAAAGTTCAGTCCTAGAAACACAAATAAATCAATTAGTAAAGTAGGTTTGAACTGACGATGGAGCTGGACTCCGAAACGTTTTCTCTTAAAAAGATATGGTGAATTTTTGTGGTATTTTCTTTGCTTTTAAATTCCTGGTTAACTTGCGATTCAAGCAAACAAGTGATTTTAATACTTATATCGCTTCGTCTCTGTCTGTCATCAAAAGTTCAAACCTTAATTTAGAGCACTTATGAAGATCCTAGAAACTTGAAATTTGGCATGCATGCTTATGCTGCCTAACAATTCAAGACTTGATCATCAGAAGTAATAATTTGAACTTTTTTTTATAATTTTTTAATTAAAAAAAAATAAAAAATTCACGGTTGAGAATCGAGTTTTTTTGCCGAACATCCAGAATTGCCAACCCTGGAAAATGATTTGAATTGCAAAAATTGCTAAACTAAAAGATAGAAAATAAAATAAATAAATAAGCTTTTAAAAACAACGTTTTCTTAACGGACAAAAAAGAAAAACATTAACTCTTACATAACATTAAAGTTATGTACATATAATGTTATGTAAGAGTAAATGTTTTTCTATTTTGTCCGTTAAGAAAACGTGGTTTTTAAAAGTTTTTTTATTTATTTTATTTAAATCCCAAATTAACTTTCTGATCAATTTACTCAACTTCTAATCAGTAACTATCTGCACTTTTTACATAATTTTTTTCATTTTTTTATTCATTAATCAAGGTTTAATTAGAACTAAATTATACATCCTGATTTAATTAATGCAACAATTTTGATATTTTGAAATATTTAGTCTTGACATGCTTTACAGGTACTCTTACTATTCAATTATGATGAAAAATTGAATTTTTACCTTTCGCGCAATCTGTTGGGGCAATACACGTCGCAAAAGCTAGACTTACATGAGCAACATGTTTTATAAGAATTACAATATATTTCCCAATCTTGTTCATATATTTTCAGTTTTCAGTGGTTCATCGTTTATCATTTTATCATACATGGTAAAATTTTTTTTCACGTACCCATTCCAATACAACCTTAAAGTGCACAGCAAACAAGCTCTTGAATAGTCGCGAGGTGAAAATTAAACCCATTTTTTACTTGATAGAGCGAAGGCGGCGCTGCCGAAGGAGGGGCGGCCGGTTCTTTGTCAGCTCCAGGGACCTCGTCTCTACCTCCCGGGCGATGTCATGAACAGGAAATGGACGATGATGACGATGAGGAAGAGGATGACGACCAGCAACCTTCTACCTCGTCGCGTAAATGATATATGAACGTTTTTTAGTTGAACTATGTTGTGAATTACCAACGACGTCTAGGGTGATTACTTAGGAATGGGCTATGGTATTGTGAGTTTTACCTCATTACATAATTGATAGAAAGTGTGAGTGAGACAAAAATGTTGTAATTACGTATGTGTTCAGTTATTTAGAGATAATTTGCAGGTATTATGAGAATGCTTAATCTCCTCACGTCAGTAATGCAAGAGCGCGCGAAGAAAGTATTGTATGTCGTCTAGCCAGATTTTTTTATGTTATTTGTGAGTATTTTGAGTTAGTTTTCCTAATCACAGCTTTGATAGAAAAGTGTGGGTGCGAGAAAGCTGTTGTATTTATATGCCATGGTTATTTGAGGTGATGTCTTCGTGCTGATAACGTTGTCATATAACACGCTTTTTGGATACAATAATGGTTGAACTAATATTAGTTCAACAATAGATGCAATCATCACGCTGTTCACGATCACGTGGAAACGTCGTATTTTTATCGATTTTTTTTAAGGTTAAACGCTTGCAACAAGCTGTGTTTTGTTCCTGTTAACTAATGTTTCTGCTATTGAGGCTCACCGACCAACCAATATTATTTAATATATTTCAGTCAATTATTGAACAATCGAAAAACGCATTTCTGCCGTTGCCTGAAATAACGCAATCGTTAGCATAAATATAAATCATAATTGAATTACATCGTTCACGTTCGGCCACGATGGATCTCAAATACATTTTTAGTGCGTTTAAGACGGCTAAGCTCGCCGCAAAGTTACTAGGAACTAGAAATTCGCATACCGGCATAGTATTCGCATAGTAACGAAAAACTTGTTTCAAGAAAGACACACATTCATTATATGTCAAGCAAATAATCATATAAAAATTTATATATAAGCTACGATACAAGTATTATTAGTCGTTAAGAAAGATTCTTGACTTTAAGATCAATTCCATTAATAAGGGTTATTGTGTAAAAACCTCACTCTAAGATTTAAGATAAAAATGAAGACTGAAAAAATGCACGTGTAAAAATTACAGCTTTTTATGATTGCGTAATCTTTACTGATGACACATAAATCTATATTACTAGCTCTAGGTTTGGTTATAAATAAACAGTTTTGCCAAGCTGTAGAGAGACCGGTTTGACCCAGTCAATGTCGAGGCCAATACATCTTAATTTTAGAAGCAGAAATCCAGGAAAATATCAGTTTTCAAGCATTGTCCGTAGATGCTTTGTTGTTGACAACTGAATGGTTTCAGAGCAGTTTTTCCGTATTACATGGTCGATTGAAGCAATTGTTCCGTATTAGCATTACGATTGAAGCAATTGTTCCGAAGCATTACCTTGTCGATTGAAACAATTGTTCCGTTATACCTTGTCGTATTACGCAATATTCACAATTTGTGCACACAAATAATTATTGTTTTACTCTGTTGGCCTTTGATGAACTGGTAAAGTTGCTTCAAATAATTTAGTTTGAGAAAGAAGAGGATTGATAAGACAATTGCTATTACGTAATTCACTTGTCGGCATAAATAATATGCGAAGAAAGATGAGGTATCATGAATTCATGATGATCTGTACCTTAAAACAAGTGAATTTTATCTTCATGGAGTTAATTTTATGAAGTTTCAGTGTCTTGTAGACAAATAGCATCTTGACATTCATCTCCCATGTTCTTGAATTCGAATAGTTCAATTGGTGATGAGTGATGACCTCATTATTATATCCGATGGTCGCTCATCATTTTAGATGCAGAACAACGATTTTTCCTATAATTTTCACATCGTCTTTCCGGATGACAACCATTGGGATCTTTCTATCCGGTAGAGGGTCACTGCGGCTCTCAGCTGACAGCTGGCAATTCTGAAGTAGTTTCAATGCCGCTTAGTTGCAAAAGCACTTATATCGCGGACCTTCAGTAGAATATAGGTAATTGATTAAGTTTGAAAACAAAACCACAAATTTCTAACAAGAGCGAGACACATTTGTAGTTAGCATATGGTAACTAAACGTTATCGTAGGTAGGCCAAAGGCCACTACGGAGCCTCAACCGCTCAAGCCTCAACGGAGGTCATTTTGTTATGAAAGATTTTATTAAAAATATTATGCTTGTTAAACTAAAGATCAAATTACTGTCACTTCTGACAGACAAAGTGTCACTGTGTGTGTTAGACTATCAGTAACCTTGACATATGAAGACCTTTCCAGGCTCCAGCATGAATTATTTGACTTGCACTCAACTTGCTGCTCATCACCAAAAACAGGATAGTACGTAATTTAAATACAATTACTTACACATGGTTCCAAACAATCCCACTATTATTATTATGACTATAATTCCATCTTTTGTTCTAAAATCTAAATATTTATCATTTATGACATTTTTGTTGTTTTTTGAGGCTAGACTGATTGATCTTTTGGTCATTGGTCATTGTTGATCCTATTGATGTGGCATGTGCCTTTGCTGAAATTGCTGGTCCTATTAGCCTATATTCCCAAAAAATCTGAGAACTGTGCATGCAATGATGCAAGCAAGTGTTTTATGAAAACTATTGCAAGAGTCTTCACAGACATCACAGTTATCCTGTTATTTCTGCTTCTCATGACATTTGTGCCTACTGGCTTTTCAATATTGTGTGAAAAACATTTATTTACAGTATTTTCTAGTAGTTCAAAATAATTTAATTTTTTTAATGTTACCATATAATTTATGTTCAATTTTGTAGAAGAGACATTAGAATTTCACTATAAATAGGAAAATGACATGGAAAATGACGGTTAATCCTTATATCATATCAATGAACAAAAAATTAAAGGACTAAGATTAGATTTTAATATTTCTGGTTGCAATTTTGTGAAATGAATGAAATAGATTAAATTAAATTCTTCCACAGAATTTTGAGATTATTTTGTGGAATTTGATACCTTTTTAGTCTTTTTATCCCACTCTATCACATCAAAGTTCAAACTGTTTTGAAAGGTTTTAAGTTTTTAATCTAGGTATTATGATGAGATTTTGGAGCAAAAGTTGAAAGCTAAGCTATAATACATATAAAATGCAAATGTATATATTTTCCCACAACTTATATTTTTTCATAACATTTGGTTGCAGTGCAAGTACAATCTTTTATTACTTATTTAAAACTATAAGGATTAAAGCATTTTGTCTTTAGGATGCTCTAAAGTAGAAAAAGCCACCATGAGAGTCTCTCCAAGATTTTAGCTTTGACTTTGAGTGATTAAAGTGTTATCCAATGCATGGCAGGTATTGAAACTACTGTAACTAGTACTACTGCTACGCACTAACTTTTTATGGTTGTGTGCTATTTGTGGAACATTTAATTTTATAATTTTTAAAAATTTTAAATAATATTAGTTAAAATAACAAGTTAGCTAATACTGAGTCCATCTGAACGGAATTACTATACGCAATTTGTAATGAAAAATTCATTATCATTGAATGGTATTATTGCAGATTAACTACATCCAAAAAAAAGGGTGTTTTTTTTTTGAATTATATGTTTTTTGGGGTGTAGATTACGAATCTGAAATCCATTTTTGGCGGTCGGCATCGGAAAACCGATTTTTTTCGCGACTTACAGGTTTTCCGATGCCGACCGCCAAAAATGGATTTCAGATTCGTAATCTACACCCCAAAAAACATATAATTCAAAAAAAAAAAAACACCCTTTTTTTTGGATGTAGTTAATCTGCAATAATACCCATTGAATTGCCTTACAATTTCTACAACATTCTGCTTACGGTATTCTTACATGTTGATGTTAATTGGTCTAAAAACACATATATATACTCTCTATCTTTGGTTGAACCTTGTTAATGTGTTGGCCTAGAAAGCTGCCTCTCACTGGACCTTTGAGCTAGTGTGACCAAATGAACAAAACAAGAAATCTTTTAATAGTATCAGTAATATAGTGAAAATGTGTTGCAGCTAATTAGTTTATGTAATTGGTTATAACTGACCAACTACTCTGGCCCATCTGACAATTGCAGTAGAATATGCGACATATTTTGTTGGTACGTATCTATATCAATCAAGAACAAGTTTGAAAATGTTCTGAGTATTACCATAAATTCCATAAGAATAAAGCCATGAAGTTCAAGTAGATTTCTGAATATCATTATAATTTCTAGAAAATTTTTTCTTCTTGACTAAGGCGTACTGTAGATTTGAACATCAAAAATCAATGCTTTCAATCATGATGTTGCATCCTCAGAAACCATACTAAAGACATGAACTAAAGACATGAGTTAGGAGAATAAGCTTGAAATTTAGTTAATTTGGTTTTGATGTTCAAATAGAAAAATTTTTAAGACGCATAGATTTTTTTTTTCTATTTTCCTACTTGTCTTTCTGTGAATTCATACCATGTGTTACAATATCCTTAGGTCCACAGAGTTTTCTTTGGAAGTGCGTAGTACTCAGAATGGCTATATATTATAGTGCTCCTTTTTTTGTTGGAAATTGAAGTTTTTTGACAAATTATTCAATGTAAAGTGTTATGTGGCTTTAGATTGTGCCGTGACGCCCAGAATTTTACTATGAAAATTTTGTAAACTAGTAGAAGTTGGCCATACTTTAGCTCCTCCACAAGCTTTGAAAATTCTATTCTAACTTTGTATAAAACTGAGAAATCCACACGCCGTCATGGTCCTCGTCATCCCTGTCAAGATGGCGATGCTCTGCAGTCTACGCATTCAATTCTTAGAGGTAAATAGCTTGTGTTACAAGCATCAAAGTTTGAATTGATTACAAATTAATTTACTTGTGTCGAATCGATTCAGGCTTTACTCTGAATTTATTTGCTCATATGTTTTGTGCACCGTAACAATTGGTGTACCGTAACTTAACAAATATTTTCTTGAAGTGGTTTCGTAAAATGACTGGGGTGTTAATCCATTGATTATGTTTATTGGCCAATCACTAATTCCAAATGTTATTGGGAAATTGACGCTTTTTGTCAAACATCCATCGAAGCCTATATGTAGCTCACTTCGCTCCGCAGTTTTTTCTCTTCTATTAAACTATTAGGTTTCCTTTAAATGTTATAACTTCACTGTTTGCAATGAACGACTGGCAATTTTATTGCCTTACGTTGTGGTCCATGTTTCAATTTTTATGTTCAAGCAACTAAGTACAAAATGACAGTACTGATACTATGCCCGAACTCTCCGCTTGAAATGTGCATTGATTGCTATGGTCTTCTTACTGCCATTATTGTCATCAATTAGTTCGTATTCGATCATGTCAGGAAAGTTTTGACGACACTGAAGCCTCCATGCAGACTTGTATGAATTCTTCAAACCTGCCCGACATCGGGTCAAATGCTTCATATTTAGAACTCGTATAGTTCACAAAGTGACAAAGCATCCTAAGGTTTTGGAAGTGAAATTTTTACACATCGTTAGTGTAAGAGTTCAACATGAGCGAGCCTCTATATTTAAGCATATCTTGATAGAGTAAAAATATTTTGTAAATATAATCAAAACGGTTATAGAAATAAATAAGAGTTTAAGAGCTTTATTGAAATAATGCGTCAGTATCACGTCACCTATATACAAAAGATATAACACTTAAAACTATGAAGCCGTGCTCTCAATCGTGCCATACCAGCTCAGAAATTAATTAATAAATCGCCCCTTTAGTTCCAGCGTAATATATATAAATAGCACACGGCCAACCACTGCTGTACAAATATTACTATTACCATACGACAGCTAGGAATACTAGTATACAATTTATACCAACGTACACTTGTATAAAATAAATTGTTCCTCTGTAATTCTAATGCGAAACCTACTCCAAGCTGCGTGGTTTTCCGTTCGTGTCTCATAGCAAACAAATTCGTTGCTTTCGTCACTGAGCAATTTAATGCTCAACAAAGTTCGCTTCAAAGTTCATGCTAGTCTTACAGCAAATAGAGCTTTCAATCAAGCGGACGCATTTCCCATAATTACATATAAATCAAACTAACATCGGAACTGCAACCGTACGTAAATATCATCTGTCGGTTACCTCACGACGTAAATGCTTTAGGCTTTAATGCTAAAATATTCATATAAAATCAATCTTTTACATAATTGAACTAGTGAAATCAATATATTTGAAGTCAAGTGGCAAAACCATGAGTGTTCAGGTACTTAGGCTACAATAGTTTTGAATAAGAATGTGTTTCTTCTCATAAAACGTGAGGTTTAGAGACAGGTTATCTTCGATTGATCGTGGGCAACGGCAATCATATAAAGCGGTAACTCATAAGATGATCACAAAACTTTGAAATTGTTTGAAATGTGAGCTTATTACTACTCTTTGGATTTCGCCATAGTTTTCATTGCATTCGCATCTTGTCCAGTAACTTCAACGCTTATTTCAATAGAGGGAGATTCCTCGTATACATTTTTAAATTGTCTGTTCTTGACTGAGCCAATTATATAAATGACCAATTGTAAAAGCAAATACCATTAAGTTCGTCAGTTTTTAAATATGACAGAGCCATTGCCGTTTCAATTGTCGTGTCTGGAAAAATTATCGAATGCATCCAGTCTTATTCAAATCCAGTGTTCAAACTGGAGAAAAAAGTTCCTATATCATATATTTGATGGATAAGTGTGAACATAATGCGAAGTGCCGAAGACCGATTTTCTTAAACCGGAGTTAAACCTAAGACATGAAAGAAATTTGGTATTTATATGTAAATGAAATCTATCAATTCAATGTCAGGTGAGAGGGAGAAGAACATGCAAAAGCTTCCGACTTGATCGTTGTGGCTGGCTATGGAAAAATAAACATCTTCTGTGTTCATCGATAAGTCAGGCTAAAAATAATCAAATAATCTTCTGAACTTAGATGGTAGGATGTGAATATCGTTATTTCAGGCTGAAAAGAGTGGATATTTTCTAAGTTAAGCCTTAAATGAGACTGTAATTTGTCCTCCGATTAGAGCGTCGTCAGGCTGTGAGGAGGTAAATACCTCGAGGATTTTGTAAAGGCTGCGAATGTAATCACATGAATTTCATGGTCATTCTAACGATAAAATTGTCTCAAGATTTCTGGGTCAGGCTTAGGACAAATTATATTGTTCAATGGTAGAAGACAGTTGCTTCAGAGCTTTATGTCAGGCCAGTCACTGACTGAAGGATACAATTTCTTCAAAGCTTATTGTCAGGCCAGTCATTGACTGAAGGATGCAACAGCTTCAAAGTTTATTGTCAGGTCAGTCATTGACCGAAGGATACAGTTGCTTCAAAGTTTATTGTCAGGCCAGTCATTGACTGAAGGATGCAACAGCTTCAAAGTTTATTGTCAGTCCAGTCATTGACTGGAGGATATAGTTGATTAAAGTTCAGATAGGGTCCTGCAGTTCTAGATTGAAGGATAAAGCAGCTTCAGTCTTCATAGTCTGACACTACGCGAGGAAATTATCCTGCAGGATTGGCACTACACAAGGTGGATTGAAGGATACAGTTGCTTCAAAGTTTAGTTTCAGGCCAGTTATAGATAGAAGGCTAGAGTTGCTTCAGAGTTTAGTATCCGGCCAGCTATTGATAGAAGGTTAGAGTTGCTTCAAAGTTTAGTATCCGGCCAGCTATTGATAGAAGGATAGAGTTGCTTCAAAGTTTAGTATCCGGCCAGTCATAGATAGAAGTATAGAGTTGCTTCAAAGTTTATTATCAGGCCAGATATTGATAGAATGCTAGAGTTGCTTCAAAGTTAAGTATCATGCCAGTCATAGATAGAAGGCTAGAGTTGCTTCAAAGTTTAGTATCCGGCCAGTAGTAGTAGGAGGGCAGGGTCGAGAACTGGCCGCCAGACTGCGCCGCCGAGGAGTCCAGCAAGGACTCGTCTCTCTTGCACGCGCCGTTGAGTTCGGTCGAGGAGAACCCGCCTGATGCCGAGGCAGGGGAGTTTGCGGTGTGGTTGCTGGCTGGGCTTCCTGTCACTACGCAAGACTTTAATTAGAACGCCGGCAATAAATTATCGTTCTACAGCAGACCTAAGTTAAATTATTCAAACTTCACAGTACTCTATTTGGCAAACGTACAATTACTTTTGGTACAATACCGGTCAGTGGAATTATTTATATAAACTACTATTGGACCATAAAACCGTACGTTGTACGTTTGCCGCGCAACGCTTCATCTAGATTCTAGAGGCCTCGGTATTTTGTCAGGACATGAGCGAGTGGGACACGAATGCTTTTGTGGTAGAAATTACTTGAGTACAAAAAATTCTTAGCAGAATGGTGGTACTACTGACCGTAGTGCTGAGACGCCGGGGACGATGAGAGTACCGACGGGCCCAAGAATCCTGCAATTATTTATGTAGTCATGACATTTGGTCATTACGATATTTTCCACATCACAATACGATCACATCGTTTAGTATATCCATTAAACTACCCCTAGAATTCGCTGTACTCTACAGTTGATTTGACACATGCATATGGTCGAGTCAGTGACATGCATGCAGCTCTCCTTGTATCGATCGTTATTTATGTCCCCTACATCTATAACTCGAGCATAAGTGACATTCCAGCTTCTTGAATATTCACGTTCTATAAATTGATGTTTATATTAGTTTTAGAAATCGATGTTAATTTTGTTTTAGAGATCGATGTTAATTTCGTTTTAGAGATCAATGTTTTATCGTTTCTAGAAATCGATGTTAATTTCGCTCTAGAAATCATGTTAATTTCGTTTTAGAAATAGATGTTGATTTCGATGAATTATCAATCTTAATTTCATTTCAGAATTCGATGTTCAATTTCGGTTTAAAAGTTGATGTTAGTCTCGTTTTAAAAATCAATATTTATTTTAGTTTTAGACATCAATATTTAATTTAATTTTAGACATCAATATTTAATTTAGTTTTAGACATCAATATTTAATTTAGTTTTAGACATCAATATTTAATTTCGTTTTAGACATCAATATTTAATTTCGTTTTAGACATTAATATTTAATTTAGTTTTAGACATCACTATTTAATTTCGTTTTAGACATCAATAATTTAATTTAGTTTTAGACATCACTATTTAATTTCGTTTTAGACATCAATAATTTAATTTAGTTTTATAAGTTCACCTGAAGGAGTGGCGATAGTTGAAGGGAACGATGGAAGAGAAGGGCTGCCGCACCCGCCGTGCAGCGCGGGGGGCGGTGCGAGGTGGGACGAGAACGAGCTCCCGAACCCTCCACCTGCACACAATTAAATGCTCGCTATTTATTAACTATTGTGTAACCATAGTACTGAATTATTGGTATTTTCATAAAAATTTCGAGTTGATGGTTGCGAATATCGAATGTGATTTAATGGCAATGTAAATTAATATGTCATTAGAATTGATTATTAATTTTGGATATGTTGGCAACTATCAAAAATCAAAATAGTAAATAAAGTTTGAATGCTGTAGATTCTTCGTGGTCTGACTTACTGGACCAATCAGTGGAAGACAAAACCGAGCTTTGTCCTTGGCCCGGCGACGGCCCGAGGGCTGATGAGCTGATGGAAGCCGAGCCGAGGGGAGACGAGCCGAGGGGAGAGATGCCGAAGGATGAAGGTGAGCTGAAGGAACTGCTCAGTTGCTGGTAGGAGGAACTCAGCTGCATGCTCGAGTGGAACTGCCCACAATATTGCCTTCAGTTACCTATATAATATTCAGTAGGTATAGTAGTATACTTCAAATATAGTATTCAGTATAGTAGTATAGTTCAGTTATAGTATTCAGTATAGTAGTATAGTTCAGTTATAGTATTCATAAAATATTTATATGTTGAAGTTTTATGTGTTTAACATGTTATAGGTATGAAAATTTTCTCATAATTTCATTTATTCATCTCATCTTATTAACGGATTCATCGCCAGAACTTAGATTTGCTACCCAAGTTAATCAGATAGTTTCTGTCATCGCGTTTCAAATGATTTTCAACATGCGCGATTGGCTTCGATATCGATTCGTGTCCCACATAACCTATTTAATACAACGCAGCGCACATTTGATCGATTACTCGCTACGCTTTTTTAAACCCTGAAAATAACCCTTACACATCTGACGGGTGTAAGTATGCTATGTAATCAACGGAATTCGATGGAAAAGTACAACATGTGAGAATTATTTAAACCTTGATAACCTAATGAAGGAATTCATGTAACTCGCGGAAAAAAACATTTAAGTACGAAAACAGTGAATGTGGGAGGTTCGTACTGACCTGGTTGACGTGAGAGTAGGAGGATGGGAGGGTTCGTACTGACCTGGTTGACGTGGGAGTAGGAGGATGGGAGGGTTCGTACTGACCTGGTTGACATGGGAGTAGGAGTAGCTGTGCGGAGTGTGGCTGCGTTGGCTGCCGTAGCTGCCCTGCATTTGACTCAGGCCCCAGCCTCCACTGCAATTAAATATCTTATTAAGTCGATGTCGAGGAAAGAAAATTAATAACTATAGCGTTAATTAATAACTATAGCGTTACGAAAAGGCTTCAAAAAATTAGTGGAAAATGGACATTACTGTCAATTCTATGAAAAAAAATATGCGACCAATGCACCAGAGCGGTCCTGTATCAATGTTAAATTAATTAATTAAGTAATCTTAATGCTTAAAATCAATGCTAAAAACGCGAGACGCTGTTTCAAAAGCAACAACCGTGAATGCAACTTGCCATCTACCGAAATCGAGGCCAGGTCCTACAACAAATTCATGGTGAAACTTGGGTGGAAGAACAGCCAATCATTGACTCCCTGGAACAAGTTTATTGTGATGGTGCTTCAAATAAATCTGCATACAAATGCATTAGTTGTTCCAGAAGCGAAAGAAATGAGACCGAAGATGACCCTCTCAGAGGCAGGCCATGCACATCAGTTTGTGAGGAAAATATTGATATTGTTCGTGATCTCACTGAAAAAGATAGGCGAATAACCACCGAATCAATAGCAGACACCCTCAACATCTCGCACATATACAATTCTGGTGGGCAGTTTGTGACTGAGTAAGGCTCTCCGCTGGATGGGTTCCAAGGCGTTACACCCAGATCAGCAGGAATCTAGGGCAGATCTTTCTATAAAATTTTGAACAAGTAGATCCGAGAACCCTGAACTTTACCTTACGCAGATTGTAACCGGGGATGAAACATGGCTCTACCAGTACAAGTCAGAGGACAAAACTCAATCGAAGCAATGGCTGTTCGGGGGAGAAAGTTCGACCGTCAGAGAAAAAGGTGAGCGTTTCAAGGGGGAAGGTTTCCTGGTTTGCTGAGGGGATCTTGGAAATTGATTTCCTCTATAACAGGAAAAATATTACAGCTATTCATTATGAAAAGATTTGTATGAAAAATTTCCAGAAAATCGCTGAAAAACGTCTTGGGAAGCAGCATGGGCGCACACTCTTCCACCCCGACAATGCATTAATTCGTACATGGCGCTCGGCAGACATGGCGGTGTTGCAAGAATTTCAATGGGAAATCATTAGGCATCCACCTTATTGGACCGACTCAGCCTCATCCGACTTTTTTTTATTTCCCAACATGAAAAATACATTGAAAGGTACCCAATTACTATCAATTGAAGAAGCAAAAGGAGCTGCCAAAACATAGTTCAAATTGCAGAAGTCAAGTTTACACAGATGAACTTGATGGCTAATATCAGCGGTCACAGAAATGTGTCTACAGAGATGAAGCATATGAATGTAAATAAACCTCATGACTTTGAACGTTTTTTCAAACTGATGTTTTTCCACGGATTTTTTGAAGCACTCTTGTATAAGTTTATTTGAAGTTTAATTCTATGGAATTGGATTTAAAAAGTTTGTGATTAGCGGTCAATTTGAAGTTTACTTCTAGGAAAATAAATCGAATAAATAAAGCGTTACCAATTCATTCAAACTTTGCGTCTGTAAAAGTTATAAATATTTAGAGTTATAATTGCATCAATTAGGAGAGAATTATCACATTTCAACTTGGCCGAGGAAGAAATATAAATAAATACAACGTCGCATAGCTTAGCCCTATAATGAACATTTTTGCGCACAAACAATCCTACTGTAATTTTCTCTTTACATAACTCTCCGGTATTACAGCAAAGTTCATTATCTTACTTGACCGTGAAATATTTGAAACATTCTATTCTTTAATAATCGAACCAAAAAAATAAGCTCTCAAGTCTTTCTAAAACTGATTTATTTTAATGAGAATGTAGGTCCTACATATCCTTGGAATACTAAGGATACGTAGGACCCACAGTACCGCTAGCCGCATAGGGTCCATGACGTTTCGATGCAGTTTGATATTCTGGCAATATTATTTATTGTACAAGGCGACTGTCGATGATACTAAGCGAATTATCCCGATTATATTGTTTAAAAATTGAGAACGAGTGTATTCCGACAGTTAGATAATTACACGAACTAATCGTATCAGTTTAGTGTACCTCTCCTTGCATGCGATTGTGAAAATCTTGAAGCTTGCTTTAGTACAACGAGAGTCTTGTATTTATGTTTAAAAAAGAGCTTTCGGGTACATCGTAGCTGCTAATGATGAAAATATTTCAGCACTCATTCCGGAGAGATTCAATTTTATCTTGTCTTCAAAAGCTATACTCCGAGACTATGGTGCCATTTTGTGGCGTCGTCGTCCTAATATGCGTTGTGCCTAAAATTAGGCTCCTAGATCAGAGGTGGGGAAATTTTTTTACAGAAAATTACGCATTGAACGCATTTAAGTATAAATTTATGTTGGAGAAAATGTTTTTTTAGTATTTAGTTGCATTAACATTATATTTTTAATATATGAAGTTAGTGATTTGATAACAAGATTTTAGTAGGTATTTAAAATATGTAGAAGTTCACTGCTACTCTTGGCAAGAGTAATGAAGGAGCTATTATTGCTCACAAGCTTGGAATAATAAGGAGAATTCGATTCGCAATTCTAGAGAAAGCTCTTGAACTGGGACATAGTTGAAAATATTACAAATGAGGTGAAAAATTAATCTATACTAACCGTCCTCATACGGTCCGCGGGGCTGTTGTTTGCCTACACCGCTGATTGCCGTTGCCATTCGTTGGAAACCTGAATCTTTAATGAATCTCTGAAATGTCATCTCCTTACCTGTATTCGGTGCTCGGCAAGCAGCCATTTTGTGGAGTCATTAGTCTGTCAGAAGAGCAGGTCGCCTAATTAGCCGAGATAAACGAGGCGTGCGCGATAAATAGCGCGTGACGACAATTAAAGCAATACGGCATGACGAGGGCGCCGAGGGGGAGACGCTCGTCTCGTGCAAGCGCTGAAATGTCTGCGTTTTGGCTTTTAATTATATTGAGTTATTAAATATAATTTAAGATTTTTTTATTTAAGCGCTGTTGTCCGACGGCCATGTCTGCCTTACGATTTTTAATTATATTGAGTTATTAAATATTATTTGAGAATTTTTATCAAGAATTCGACACTATTAAAGCGCCGTCTAAAATTGTTGCTTCATTTGCGTAGTCTGTCTTGATACCTACTATTACGATTTTTAATAACATGGAGTTCTCACGTATAATTTGTGTTTTTCAATTTCGCATTTAACTGTATAAAAGCGTCGTCTGAAATTGATGCTCTATCTGGTTATTCTTTTTTGATATTGTGATTTTTTACTGGAGAATGATTTCGAAATTTCCAAATTTGTTATAACTTCTATATGCTCTTAATGTTTCTTTGTATAACAAACTTGTTTTTTTTTTGTTTTTCAAAATTATTGATATTCTCTCTTGTGATTTGAGTCAAGTTTTATACAAATATTATTCTTTCGAAAATATTAGCAAATTCCTCGCTACTGCGTTAGTTTTTTACGCCTTGACCCATATTTGATTGAGCGTGTAAATACAACGCAGTTTTTTATTTACCTCATCAATCAGATCGGAATATAACGAGCGCAATGTGTCTTTATTAGACTCGTTCCCGCGGCTCTGCGGCAAGGCATCTTAATCCCATAATCTGTTCAACGGCATCCCATTCTGCAAGATCAACGTTCGTTACACTAGAAAATGTCTTCACATTTTAAATTGTCTTCTACTCTCACGATTACAGGCTACATTTTTTGTGCTTCTGGCACGTATTGTAATATAACATAAAATCTTTCTACACTTTTTTTGCAAAACTTGCTTTAATTGCACACGTTTTCTTCGATTTCTTACAAGTTTATTCGCGCAACGATTCCGTGTCGCCTAAACAAAGGTTTAGGGTCCTATTTCATCGAGTAATTTTTCCACATTTAGAGCTCTAGCCAAAAGCACTTACCCGATTTCAAACAACAAGCAAAAAATATCTAATAACTTGCAATATTATGATGAAACATGTTCTCTATCTTGGGGCCATTGCGAAATATCGATTGTCAAACTATCGTTTTTTGGGGTACGAAAATTTTTTGTAAAAACGAAGCGTTTTAACGAGGTCATTGATCGCATCACCGACACTGTTACGAACTCGGCGACGCACTTCCCCGGCATCTCCACTCTTACCGTGGATGATGCACACTAAACATCTGATGGATGGTGCACACTAAATATCTGTAATCTGAGTCGATGATCAACTTTGTGTGCGATTTAATGATGTGTGTTCAACGCAGAACGTTGAATTATATGCGAAATTAATTTGAAACCCTTTTTTGGTGGTCATAAAATTTGTTGTAATATTTTCGAGGAACAACAGCATTAATTAGCATTCTAATACTTTACCGTCAAAACGACGATTTCATTTACTCCCTGGGTGTTGAAATATTTCTATTTGCTAATACAAAGATAATTCAAAATTTTCAAACGTATCTCATGGCATCAAAGCAATTGAATTATTTAGTATTGTCTTTCACTTTGTCTTACTGTTACAATTTGGTGGCAGGTTGATACAGTTGGGGTCTTAAGGTTAAGAGTTAGATCGTAATAAGTTAGATCGTAATATAATATTTGTTGACCGCTAAAAGGTTCAAAAAACATACATAAAAGAATAGCGTAGCACACATCGTGGGGCAAATATAGGTAAGCGGTGTGAGTGAGCATTGTGCTGCTGGCGGTGACAAGAGGGAGCAGTTACAAGCCTCGTCTCGCGTCTCCTGAGGATCGGGGAAGCGATTTATAGAAGGAAGCGCTCAAGACGGTGTGGCAACCTTATAGTGGTGCGTCATTTGACTTCTTATTTTTACCCTCTCACTAGACCACCATCTTAGACTCTCAGCACGTCATGACATGGGTATTACTAGTCGACGTTGGTAGTTGTTGAACTGAGGGTACAAGCTTCGCCCAAAAAAGCGTTTTCCAACTTGAAAGAGGTACGGAGAAATTATTCGATTAGCGTCGATTCTAATCGCTGGCTTATAAAGCTATTATTTTAGACAAATACCAGTCAGATCGTGAGTTTTCTAAATT